ACTTGTAAGCCAGGGTAGCCGCAACGGTTTAGGCGTTGATACGGCGCTCATCACTGTAAGGTAAAGGTCCCGGGTTCGAACCAGCGGCCCTGCATTCGAACCCGACATACTTACAAATGAGGTTTGTTGTTTATTGTTAGGTTTAAATATTTAAAACCAATTTGTATTGAGATTAATCTTTTTAAAGAATAAATATTAAAACGTTGAAGACCCTCCAATTCATTTAATGCCTTAAAGAGATTATTGGTCCTCCGGGCTGGATTAATGTTATCCTTCTAGACATTACGTAATGATTCCAATTAAGGTGACTTGATGGGGGCGTCGGTGGCCGCAACGGTTTCGGCGTTCATCACTGTAAGGTAAAGGTCCCGGGTTCGAATCCAGCGGCCCTGCATTCGAACCCGACATACTTACAAATGAACTTTTTCAAAAACATCGCACCCTGACGGTTGCTAGACCTCTGCTGTTGCGAACCCTCGTAAAAAAAATTAATAAAAATTAGTAAGCCAGTATTAATTTATTTATCGCCTGCCTTTCTTCTATGGCTTTTAGCATTTCGATGTCGCCAACAGGAAATGTTTTGCAAAATAAAACATCATTCATAATTTATTTTTCCCTCTCGAAGGTGGGTTAAAAGGTCATCTCAAAAAAACAACAACCAGTTTTTCTTTCAACCCACAACGTTTCGGATTTATTTTAATCCTTCCTCAGGTAAGTTAACGCAGTGGTCGTCAGTCATTAATATTTTGTAACAGTTTATTTTAAAAAAGAGCCAGTGTTGTATATATTTAAGTCTTTAAGACTCCGAACAAACGTTTTAATATTTTGAACCTGACTAGTTTTTTGATGTAAGTAGCTGTGCTCACCGGTAAAATATGTTTGTCCACTTTATTAAGATAATTGGGAAAAACATTGTTTCTTCTACATTTTATCAAAATTCTATCTTGAGTTGGGCGTTTAATAACTTATTATTTAGTGAAGACCATTTCTTAAAACTTGACATTACTTATGTTCCGCGTTCCTCAGCAATCTGTCTGTACATACCTCCTCCCCGATGGGCAGTACTGGCATGTCCGTTGATATTTCCCGTGATTAGAGAAACGATGTTTTCTTATATTTCGACCTCAACAGTTTAACTTATGATTTTTCCTTCTCGAAGGTGGGATAATAGGTCATCTCAAAAAAACAACAACCAGTTTTTCTTTCAACCCAAATGTTTCGGATTTATTTTAATCCTTCCTCAGGTGAGTTAACTCAGTGGTCGTTAGTCATTAATGTTTTGTAACAGTTTATTTTAAAAAAGAGCCAGTGTGGTACATATTTAAGTCTTTCATACTCCGAACGAATGTTTTAATAATAAGTCAGCCCCTCAAAACAAGATACAAGTAAAAGTTCTTATAAAAAGAATATTTATATATTCAGACAAAAAGACAAAAGCGAAACCTCTTCTATATTCAACGTTGAAACCTGAAACTAATTCAGACTCTCCTTCAGCAAAATCGAACGGAGAACGATTGGTTTCTGCTAAGCAAAAAATATATCAAGAACTGAAAACAGGAAAAGAAAAAAACTCAAACAAAATATTTTGCTGAAAAATTGTAAAATCAATAAAATAAAATCCCCCAACCAAAAAAACCACTCCTAAGGCCAATAAAGCCATTCTGACCTCATAGGAAATGGTCTGGGCTACAGAACGAAGAGACCCTAATATAGTATAATTAGAATTTGAAGATCAACCACTAATTATTACCCCATAAACCCCTATGCCTAAACACACTATCATAAACAAAAACCCAAAACTAAAAAAGTATACATTTACTAAAAATGGAAACAAGCATCACAATATAAAAGATAAAATTATTATAAGTATAGGAGAACAATAATAAATAAAAAATTAGACAAACAAGGATATCTTTGTTCTTTAAAAAATAGCTTTAACCCATCAGAAAAAGGCTGTAATAGCCCTATCAAACCTACTTTATTAGGACCTGAATATAGCCTAAAACCTTAAACTTTTTTTTTTTTTTTTATGACACCTATTATCTCACCTTCGAGAAGGAAAAATCATAAGTTAAACTGTTGAGGTCGAAATATAAGAAATCATTCATAACTCCAAGCTTATTCGTTATAAACACACCGAAGCCTATGTTCATTTGAATGAGTCTCATCCTAAAAAGAAGGGCATTCGCAGTCTCTGGACATGTAAAAACGATATATTCTAAACGATGGGATAAAAACGTTAAAGAAATTAAATACCTAGGAGTTACAAAAATTTTATATCGACCTCTCATATAAACCTTCCAACAAAGCCCTCCAGATAATCCATGAACTAAAAAAACACTAAAATCTTCTGGGGGCTTGGGCAACAAGCCTTGAAAACTATACACGAAACTGTTACATTACCAACAACGACTTACGCAGCACACATATGGTACGAAGGATTAAAAATAAAAAGCATCTTGAAAAAAATAAGATGACGTCTGATCGCAATAATTACGATAAAAGGATACGAACCATACGATTTCAGCCTGTACTATAGCAAATATTCTGCCGATAGACCTGAAATTGTAATTGGAAAATCAAATTCATACAAAAACAAGAAGTGGAATCTATAGGATCTGGGAGAATATGATAGGATCAAATTTAAAGAATACACCCAGCAAAAATCACAGAGATGGACTAGGTGTTTATTGTTCCCCATGCACAGCAACCATCCGGTTTTGTACTTTCTCCTAGTTCTTTAGTTCAGTCAATTTGATCCTTCTTTTAAAGATCATTGTCATTGCTAAAATTCCTTTTCCTGGGTTTTCTTTGTATCCCAGGTTGTCTGTATTGATCAGGTACTAACATTAGAAGATATGGTCTGCTGTTTCTTCCCTTCATTGCATAACCTACAAATTGGTCATCATTCAATATGCCCAGGTTGTGTAAATATTTTCTTCAGTGACCAGTAAGTAGTCTATTGCCCATCAGAGTTTAGCAGCTGCAGCAATGAGTTTGGCAGTCTTGCAGGTTGTCTTAGCATAAGCTTACTGTGCCTAGCGCCCCGAGTTTATTCAATCCCCCTTTTTTTTGTCTTTTTTGGATCCATTCTGTGATGGATGATTCTGTTTTTGTTGTCCCCAGTGTAGGTTCAGGGCCTATATATGGCCTTGCAGATCCTTCTCTGGCTAGAGCGTCTGCCTTTTCGTTACTCAAAATTTGTTTCTGTCTTAATACTCAAGATATCAGGGTGTTTCTGCAGGTTTTGGAGATTTTATATGCATTCACTGACTAGTAATGATATAATTTCTTTACATGTTAATACTCTAATAGCTGCTCAATTATCCAATCTTATGGGGATTTTTTGCCAGTGTAACTTTTTTAAATTTTCTAAGATAAGCATTGATGGCATGAGATTTATCGTTGGTTTCGCTTATTTCCATTTAAAACTGTATTCATATGACTTTCTTGATAAACTGCAGCAATCTAGGGAATAGAGAAATAGATAGAGATAAATGAGACAGCCTCATGCTGACACCTCGACCTGAGTAGATCTGTTATGCTCTATTTTTATACACACTGGTCAGCTTCAAGTTACTAGTCAACTTCATAGTCCGGTGACTCGTTAGGATCTTGCTCACAGATTTTCCTCTCCTCGTTGCAAGAATACACACCTACCTAGACCCTCACAAAAGTATAAAATGTGTTCTGCGGTTCCTTCAATATTTCTTGTCAGTACTATCTGGAGCATGTGCTCTTCTATTTTTGTACTCACTGGTCAGCTTCAAGTTGCTAGTCAACTCCACAACCTGATGGCTCATTAGGATCTTGCTCGCAGGTTTTCCTCTCCTCGTTGCAAGAATACGCACCTACCTAGACCCTCACAAAAGTATAAAATGTGTTCTGCGGTTCCTTCAATATTTCTTCTATCAGTACTATCTGGAGTATGTGCTCTTCTATTTTTGTACTAACTGGTCAGCTTCAAGTTGCTAGTCAACTCCACAAACCTGATGGCTCATTAGGATCTTGCTCGCAGGTTTTCCTCTCCTCGTTGCAAGAATACGCGCCTACCTAGACCCACACAAAAGCATAAAATGTGTTCCGCGGTTCCTTCAATATTTCTTCTGTCAGTACTATCCGATGCATGTGCCTTCTTAGGCAGCAGTGCCCTGTCAGGTGTCCAACCAGAATCTTGGACTGTTGCCGTTACCTTCTAGTAATTCCTTTAAAAATCTGTTAATCTTCCCATGCCTCTTACCTGGGGGTGTTGCTCCAAGTTTTAGACTCATTAAAGATTTTTTTAATTTATCCTTTTTTGTGACATTTTATCTAGGGAATATAAAACACTCAATATTTGTTTTTACACACAATTTTAATACAATTATTTAACATGTTCTAACACTACGTTTGGAAAAGACAAAAACAAACTGTGGGCATTAACATATAAATACCAAAATGGCCGAACGGATTTATGGTAGACACTGAGATTCCATTATTAATTAAAGTACAACATTGTAACACTTTGCCTGCATTAAAATATTAAATTGGTAACTACATAATTTTATCAAAGCCCATTTTATCTTACAAAAGCTTTGACTAACAATTTGAAAAACTTACCATTTGCGATTTTTTATTAAAACCAGTTAAATTCTAACATTCCCTCCGAAATAACATTATTAGAACTAAAATCAATTCATGTTTTTTTTAATAAAATAGCATCCAAAAATTGAGGAAATTTGACGACTAATTTTTCTAAGGCTAATTACCATCAAAATAGATTTTCTTTCTGTAGCATTAGTTAACATTATAATTTAATTTTTAGCATACCCATGGACGTTTACTTTATAGTTTAAAATTTCAATTACTAACTTTTTAAAATAATTTATCTTTAAATGACAATCCTAATAAACAGTTATATTTATTATTTAAAAAATAACACATATAAAGAAAAATAGTGTAATTGTATAAATGGATAAAAAAATTTAATATTAAGCGAGTTTTACTGATATTTTTTTCTTTATCATCCTGATTTGCTTATTCTTAACTGTTTTTGACAGATGTGTTTTCACCAATTTTAGTAGTTGTCTGTACGTATAGACAGACATGGAAATTAGTATTTGTACGATGATTAGAGACGATCAAGCTATAAGTTCATCACCTTATCTATTTCACATTTCACTAGATAATTTTGTTAACAAAAACAAAACATTTTATATTTAATTAAAATTAACCACAAATATCTTAACTTATTTATTAACTAAAATAAACACACATCACATTACACAGGGAAAAAATCCTTGCCAACTTGTAAACTAATACATTAATATAACTACTTATAAAATATATTCAAATCTATCCTTGAAGTTATTAATAATTATAAAAACTTCCATACCAACTAGGCCACTTAGGATTAGAGAATTTTGTTCTTTGTGCTTGACCACTCTCAGCATTATTAATTTGAAAAAGTCTTATAAAACAAAAATTATTTACATAACATTCAATAGTTTTGATATTTAGCGATATTCCTTTGACTGAGCTTGTACTAATTAGCGCTAAAGTGATTTTATGCTACAGAGCGTTTTTAATTTTAACATCCTGTTCTTTTCACAGCCACCAAGTCACAAACTCGTAAACTCTTAAGTAAAAACTTTCTTTTTAACTTTCCGTTTGATTTTAAAGATATTAAACCAATCGATATTTGATTATGTTTATGTAAAACTAAACTACCTTTATTATTATATATATAAGGATATTCTCTTAATAATAGTAATATTTTATAGCTTAAACGTTCTTCCATTTTTATCAAATTTGATCCTTTTAGCCTCAACAGTCTTGCGATTTTATGTCAAGGTGATTTCCAGCATGCTGCATTAAATTGAATTCATTCGAACCGATTTTTGTTTTTTCGTTACGCCACAATAAAACTACGACGAAATGTTAGAAACTTTCACGAGCCGAACTATTATGTATATACTAGACGTATTAAATTTCATATGTAAATCGACAGCAGTCACAACACCAAAAGGGAACTAAAGGTGGTTTTGAAAGGTTCGAAAAACGGTCAAAAGCTCAAACATTGAAAAGAAGGTTGTCCTTCGACATTATGTAATTAATGCAGCATGAATAACGCCCTTGTCATAAACTTTCCTGCGCAGATACAACCCGCAGATCGGATCTTTCTTCTAAAAATTTAAAGAGCGATCCGATGCAATACCAAGATGTAAGTTCATGTTTTGCTATCCCTGTATTAAAAAAAAAAAATTAAATAAATAAGATAATACATGTATAAACAGATTTAAATGCAGAAAAATCTACCTGCTGAAACGCACTGAATTTCTCCAGGTTGTTCTGGAAGAGGAGAGTCTAAAGGGTCAGTGCTTGACACCCAATTTCTACCAATCTAGAATCAAAATAATTTCTTAACAATTTTGACTTTTTTATTTAATTGTCAATACGTATATAATGAAATATACGTGTGTCTCTTCAGTTTTGGGCCCAACCCTGAATTCGGAGAACCAAAAACAAGGTCCCAGAGGTTTTTTTATGATCGGACCTGACTACATTAATTTAATTTAATGATCAGGCACTTTTTTTTGATATACAAAATTCCAATATTCAATTCAAACCAAAATATTAATTAAATTTAAATCTTTTATTACAATTTATTTTCAAACAAGATTACAATTTCTTTTATTAATTATTATTTTTAATTTAAAGAATCTTTTATTCTACAATAAAACCTATTTCAGAATCTACAAACATTAATTTTAAAATCGAATTTAATTATTCGTTTTATAAAGAAAACTAAAAGTAAAGGAAATTATTATTATTGCTACTATTATTAATTTTTGACCACCAATTAGAAAATACAATTAATATTTTAACATAACTTTTAAAATCAAATGTTATCTCTTTTAGTTTTCTTTATAAAAATATATTTTTTGTTACAACCCTTTTTTTAAATTAAAATACAATTATTATTTTTAGTTTTTTGACGTCAAAATATAAAATTACTCACTTGAATTGTGTGCACACCAAATTTTTCTTTATTACAAATAAATAGCTCTTAACCCAGGAGAACCAAAGGAATTGTTTTTTTGACTGAACAAAATAGCCCTTTCCTAGCCCCTATTCTTTCACTGTCAGATGTGTGTGGAGGGGCATGGCGGTACATTCAAATCGAAACGTTACATACGTATGAAAAGTGTATTAACATGGGTTTCCATTGCGTGAAAATCACTCATGCAACTGTTTCGCAAAACTTGTCTTCCATTGTGGGCACCTAGCCAGGACTGCGAAACTTTTGGCGCAAGGATGTTTTGGGGTGACCCGCCAAGCTTTGTTTCTTTTTTTTACTGTTTTTATGTTGTTTTATGTTTAGTGTTTCAGTTTTTAGTGTGCATCAAAGTGTTTCGCATTGTTTTGTCTCTCTGTATAAACGCACTTTTCTCGAGTATGAGAATGAACCAACAGGAGTGCATTCGAATATATCACAGTTTTCGATTTTTGTGGGATCCTTAAGATAAAACTCATCATAACAAGAACAATAGAAAGGAAATGAAGGAAATGAACATTAAAACGGTACTAAGACAAAAAGTACAACAAAAAGTATCGCCATGATAGCAAACACTGAAGTAGAAGTAGTTTTGAAAACCAATTGCTCACCTTGTTTCACCTCTAGATTGCAAAATGTTTCACCTCGTGGAAACAGTTTACCCGAGACAATTCTTGCATTTAGTTTCACGAGTGATTTTTTTGCACATTGGAAACCCATACAGAGCGATACTGGAGTGAGGGCTGGAAATCAATAATGGGATTATTTTGTGTCAAGGAGCAATCTATCTGCTGACAATGGACCGCCCCAACAAATCAACTTTAAATTCGAAGGTTAGATTGTGTAAATAACGTCAAAGTCATTTTATTAACCACAAAAATTAACCTATTATTTTTATAGGTATTAATTTTAATATATTACAATTAATCAAGGTTTTTAGTTGAGATAAAAAAGTCAATAGCACGAGCGGGATTCGAACCCATCTTCGGCTAGATATGCCGCTGCTCTACCACTTGAGCTATCGTGACCTCGATCCACTCGGACATCAACTTCCCATCTCAACCACACCTTTTGAATTTTCCCTCCGTTTTCCATTTTTCAAATGTCGGATTGGATTCTCGGATTCCTACAGCACACCGGTGAGTCCTAGTTCATCGAGGAATTTGATTAGTCGGCCCGGTTTCAGAGGTTCAATTTCTTCTACGGTTACATGTCCTCTTGTGGCAAGGTTTGTTAACAGGTGTGATGCTGTTTCCTCTACTTCTTTGCAGAATCCCATGTTGTGTTATACCAATTTTCTCCAAATGGCCATTTAGTCTGTAGTGTCCCGTTAGGATTCCCTTGATTCATTCTATTACTTCATTCCAAAGTTTGTTAGGAGGTTCTTGGATTGTTTGTGTCCAATCAGTCAGTCCAATTGTCCCCTCATTTTCTTTTTATCCTTCTATCTGACTCAGTGATAGTGTGAGTTCCTATGCCACAGAAGGTTTCTGATCCTATCAGCGGTGTAGCAGTTCTTTTCCTTGCAAGGGTGTACGGTTTCTCGTTGCCTTCTGCTCCCATGTGTCCTGGGCTGACTTTCTTCTGCATACCTACTATGTTTAATTCGGTTTTGCAGTTCAACTCCATTTTTGAACTAATGATGTTTGAGCTTAGTGCTATGATGGCTGCTTGGCTATCTGGCATATCTATGTTCTTGTTTTAGTGCCCTTTATTCAAGTTGAATTGAGTACATCACTATGTTTACTAAATACATATATGGATTTATAATGTATATTCATTAAATTTTTTAACTAGTTGAAAAATGTTTAAATATTTTTTTTTAATTGACTTAAATTTTTAAAAAATATAAATAAATAAACTTATACCAAACCAAATTTTTTTCACATTTTATAAGTAATGCAGAAAGGATACGATTTGTATCCTAACCTAATTATACATAATTGTAACCTAATTACAAAAGCATTAAGTCATACCTTTGATAAATGATCAGCAAGTACTGAAGAAACAGCTCTAGGGATTTTTCCGTGGACAGAGTCGGTTAAACCGATTGCAAAAACCCTATTTAGGAAGTCTTCTTCAAATTGAGATGCCTGTAATAAAAACAGGGGTTTTCATTACAAATTTACCTGATAAATGCTCATTATAGGATAAGACATTATACTAGGTAGAATTCAACTGTTCTTTTTTTTTCTTTTTTTTGGGGGGGGGATGAATGTTATCTACTTCTAATTGCACAGTTCTATAAAATAGATTGAATTTTACTTTTTAACTGTCAGATATTGAAGACTCCATTGCACTTCATGCTGTTTTTATGTTCTAATCTTCTATTTCATTACAAAAAAAGGGGCTTGGTATGGTACGGTAATAAGTATTCTAGGAAGCGAGGTTTGTGCTTCCCAGGCACTGCAGCTTTCTGGTTTACTGTACCTCCCTAGTACCTTAGTTTAGTGCAATAGACTCAATCCTTCCCCTTAGAAGTATCAGGTCATTGACTGTCGCTGCTACAATTTGATTCCCTATGTTTTTTTCATATGCTATGTTAAATCTCCATCGAGCTGTTCTTCGCATTCGAAGATGATATGGGTGGCTGTTTCCTCCTCCTCATTACATAATCTGCAGATGGGATCATCATTGAATAAGCCCATGTTGTGTAGATGTCTCAGATGCCAGTGATCAGTTAGTAGTCCTACCACTCCTCTGAGTCCAGCCCTCCTCAATTGTAGCAAAGATTTTTCCAGTCTTGGTGAGAGTTGTTTCATCATAAGTTTACTATGTCTAGATAGAGATAAAGTGAAAAATACATGGATGTATGCAAAAAATAAAACATAAAATATTTCTCTCCCCCTCTCATCTCTCACTCTCCCTTTCAAATACCCTCTTTATTTACATTAAACAACTGTCTAACTTCTAAATGAATAGTCCCATTTTTAGGAAGAAAAAAAGGAGAGAGAGAGAAGCAAAGGAAAAAAGAGAGAAGGCCGAGAGGAAAAAATAAAGATTGTGAAAGAGAGACAGGCAGACAGGTAGAGACAGAGAGAGAGAAGCAAAAAAAAAGATTGTGAAACAGAGAGAGAGAGAGTGTGAGGCTGAGAGAGAGAGAGAGAGAAGAAATCGAAAGATGGTGAGACAGAGAGGGGGAGAGAGAAAGTAAGAGAGAGAAGCAGAGGAAAGCAAGAGAGAAGCAAAGGAAAAAAGAGAGAAGGCCGAGAGGAAAAAAGAAAAATTGTGAAAGAGAGACAGGCAGAGAGAAAGAAGCAAAAAAAAAAGATTGTGAAACAGAGAGAGAGAGAGAGAGAGAGAGAGAGAGAGAGAGAGAGAGAGAGTGAGTCTGAGAGAGAGAGAGAAGAAATCGAAAGATGGTGAGACAGAGAGGGGGAGAGAGAAAGTGAGAGAGAGAAGCAGAGGAAAGCAAGAGAGAAGCAAAGGAAAAAAGAGAGAAGGCCGAGAGGAAAAAAGAAAAATTGTGAAAGAGAGGGAGAGAGTGAGGCTGAGAGAGAGAGAGAGAGAAGAAGAAAAACGAAAGATGGTGAGACAGAGAGGGAGAGGGAGAGGGAGAGGGAGAGGGGGAGAGAAAGAGAGAGAGAGAGAGAGAGAGAGAGATGTTGGTTCAATTTGATTTAATCTTCAATATATAACTTGGACATGTTAAATATGAATATCTACTTTCTTTTTGTAAAAGTGCATTATTTTTGAAGAAAAATTAGCTTTCTTTACTGAAAATGGGACTATTCGTTTAGAAGTTAGACAGTCGTTTAATTTAAGTAAAAAGGGTATTTGAAAGAGAGAAAGAGAGAAAGAGAGAAAGAGAGAGAGAGGGGGGGGGGAAATATTGTATGTTTCGTTTTTTGCTCAAAGTCTAGAAATTTTGTTGAGTAGATTAAACCTGCACAACCTGCGAGTGTTGAAGATTTTTTTCCCTTTTCGCAACAGCAGAAGTCACATGAACCCTCAGGTTTATGAAGACAGCCAATTAGTAAGATGTCAAGTTTGAATGCAGGCCCACTGGATTTGAACCCAGGACATTTACCCGATGAGGTGATGAGCTTGAAACCCCCCCCCACCTTTCCTAGAGAATATTACAAACAATGGAATTCCACTAGTGAGCTGGGAAGATTAAATCCACTCCCATCTTACAAGACGCTGTACATGAATGGCTTACATTTTTTTATTAAATACAAATTAAACTTCATAAATTACTATTATACTATGAGTACTTTTAATTCTCCTTTTTTATAGAAGAATAGAAGAAAAGAAATAGAGTTCCATTTCTATCTTAGTAGATGTAAAATTTTCTTATTTTAACTTTTACTTACTCGCTTAAGATGAAGTGAATCTCAAACAAATTTGAGCAAAATATCAACCAGCAACCAGCAGATTTATTTATTTAAAAAATAATAATAATAATAAATTTAAAAAATTAGACTCCACTTGATTATTTTAAGAATTTTACAATATTTTAATTGACATAGAAAATGCTTAAAAAGGTTTTTTTTATACTTTTCAGTATAAGTCATTAGAATTTGTCATTATAATCAGATTTGTATAGAATTATTTGTACTCACAAGACTCATTGTAACAATGCCTCCAAAGCTGTGAGCAACAATCGCTATTTTCTGAGCCCGTGATTCACTAATATAGTTATTCCAAAATGTATTTGCATGTTCCTGTGGAGAGCTGCTGCCCTGTAATTTCAGTTAATATATTTTTATTTTAATAATTTATATTTTAAAGTTTGAGTTACATACAGGTATTGATTGTTTATTCCCGTCGACCACTCTATGGTTGTCATTGGTGTTCAAGACATATACACCGTAACCCAGCTGTGTCGCTTTCTTAATGTAAGGAATCTGAGTGCCCGAATCCAGACAGTCGTTGATGATTAGACTGCAAATTGATTTTCTCCTTATCGAAAACACCCAAAAGTAATTATCGTTGGATATACCTTCTGGCCCATTGTCCAGCTCTGACTACTCCGCTGCCATGGATGAGGATTATGAGCTTATCCGCGCTGTCTACGTTTTCAGTGCAGAAAATAAAAGAGGCGTTGTTCTCGTCTTTAGGAAGTGGAAGTCTACGCAATCCCTCACTTTCGAGCAAGTCGTAAACATAATGTGTTATGGTCTGAAACAAACAAAGAACGTCTATTGTATGTATTACGTTTTACGGCCAAAAATAATTGTAGTTAAAAAATTAACTTTTCAACTTTTTGAGAAATACTACTTAATTTTTTTTTTAAATCTGTTTATCTAGACTTTTCATGTTTGTTTTTATGTATGTTTTATTTTGTATGACTAAAATAGATTCAATTTAATTATACTTTGTCATTTGAAAAAGACGTGAGAATTAGTCATCAAGCAACTAAAAAAGGCAGAATATTGTACTAGTTAAAAATTAACTTTTCAGGCTTTTGAGAAATGCTAATTATTTTTTTTTTTAATCTGTTTAATCTAGACTTTTTATGTATTTTTTTATTTACGTTTTATTTTTTATGACTAAAATGGTAGTTGGATTAATTATACTTTGTTATTTGAAAAAGAAATGGGAATTAGTCATCAAACAACTAAAAAAGGCAGAATATTGTACAAGTTAAAAATTAACTTTTCAAGCTTTTGAGAAATATTACATAATTTTTTTTTTAAATCTGTTTATCTAGACTTTTTAAGTTTATTTTGATGTACGTTTTATTTTTTATGACTAAAATAGTAGTAGGAATCAATTTAATTATACTTTGTTATTTGAAAAAGAAATGGGAATTAGTCATCAAACAACCAAAAAGGCAGAATATTGTACAAGTTAAAAATTAACTTTTCAAGCTTTTGAGAAATACTACTTAATTTTTTTTTAAATCTGTTTATCTAGACTTTTTAATGTTTGTTTTATTTTGTATAACTAAAATAGTAGTAGGATTCAATTTAATTATACTTTGTTATTTGAAAAAGACATGGGAATTAGTCATCAAACAACTAAAAGAAGGAAGAATATTGTACAAGTTAAAACATTAATGTTTCATCCTTTTGAGAAATACAACATAATTTTTGTTTTAAATCTGTTTATCTACATTTTTATGTTTGTTTTTATGTATGTTATACTTTTTATGACTAAAATATTTGTAGGATTCAATTTAATTATACTTTGTTATTTGAAAAAAGACATGGGAATTTGTCATCACAAATTAAAAAAGGCAGATTATTGTAAAAGTTAAAAAATTAACTTTTCATCCTTTTGAGAAATATTACTTTTTTTTTTAATCTGTTTATCTAGACTTTTTAAGTTTGTTTTTATGTACGTTTTATTTTTTATGATGTAGCATGCATCAAACAACTAAAAAAGGCAGAATATTGTATAAGTTAAAAAATTAACTTTTTTCCTTTTGAGAAATATTACTTAATTTTAAAAAAATCAGCTTAATCTAGACATTCAGGGTAGCCAGGAAATGTTTAAAATATTATATTTAGTTTTCCATTAGCTCCAAGTTGGTCTACAAGTTCCTGGTAAGTCATACCAAAAAGTTCCTAAATCTGAACTAGAACCGAACAGTTGACACAAAAACCAGGCAACAGGATGACAGTATCAGCCAAAATATATGTTCATCACTGTATGCAATCAACAAGAAATCAGAGGAAAAAGCTATTTCATGTTTGGTAGTTTCTATCATTTTGGCATGCTTACCCTTAGCCGTTTTGGTCTCTTTTGGTATTTCACCACCTTCAGTCCATTGAGGGCATCATAAAACATAACAGATAACACAAATACCAAGCAACAAAATGACAGGGGGGGGGGGGTCAGTGGCTGCAAGGTTTAATCTTTGACACGCCACTCATCACTGTAAGGTAAAGGTCCTGGGTTCGAATCCTGCGATCTTGCATTCGAACCCGACATACTTACAAATGGGATTTTTTTTTCAAAAACACTGGCACCATGAGGGTTCATATAACCTCTGTTGTTGCGAATCCTCGTTTAGAAAAAAAAATTAAACCTTCAACCTAATAGTTGATCAGTTTTAATGCGTGATAAACTTTTTTATGTTGGAATTTATGGATTGTTTTAATTGAAGGGACTAAAACTAGCTTTATGACTAAGTAAAATGATGAGCTTGTCTAATAACGATTAGGAAAGTTGGTTAAAAAAACGAAATGTGAGAGGGGCCGTGGGGATCAAACGATGAATTTCATTATGCCGGTATAATAATCATCCAGCAGCGCTGCATTCAAACCCGACATACTACTACTCGTAAATAAATAAAAGAAAAAAAGAAAAAATGACAGAGTCAACCAAACTGTACAGTCATTATTGTGTGCAATCAACAAGAAATTGGACCATTACACTATTTGAAGTTTGGTAGGTGCTTATCCTTGGCTGTTCTGGTCCTTCAAACTCTTTTGGCAATTCACCACCTTCAGTCCAAGTTTGAGGGCACCACCAAACGAGACATACAACACAAAGACAAAGCTATAGGATGACAGAATCAGCCAAACTATACTTTCATCACTGCATGCAATCAACAGGAATCAGACAATTTCAGATATTTGTAGTTTGGTAGTTTCCTCTCATTTTGGTATGCTTTGCCTTGGCCATTTTGGTCCTTTAGCTCTTTTGGCAATTCACCACCTTCAGTCCATTGAGGACACCACCAAACAGAACAGATAACACAAACGCCAAGGTATAGGATGACAGAATCAGCCAAACTATACTTTCATCACTGTATGCAATCAACAGGAATCAGATGATTTCAGCTATTTGAAGTTTCGTATTTTTCTATAATTTTGGTGTGCTTATCCTTGGCCATTTTGGTCCTTTAAAATTTTTTGGTATTTCACTACCTTCAGTCCATTGAGGGCACCACCTGAACAGATAATACTAAGACCATGCTACAGTATGACTCATTAACCAAACTATACAGTCATCAGAGTATATAATCAACAAGAAATCTGATCATTTGACTATTTGTAGTTTGGTAGATTCCTCTCATTTGGTATGCTTATCCCTGTTCTGGTCATTCAAGCTCTTGGCAAGTCATCAACTTTAGTCCAAGTTTGAGAGACCACAAAACGTAACAGACAACACAATGACAAAGCTTAACAGCAACTATACTTTCATCACTGTAGGCAATCAACAAGAAATTGGACCATTACACAATTTATAGTTTGGTAGATTCCTATCGTTTTTGTATATTATCTTTGGCCGTTTTGGTCTCTTTTGGCATTTCACCACCTTCAGTCCACTGAGGGCACCATCAAACAGAACAGATATCCCAGAGACCAAACAACAGTACGACTCATCGAACAAACTGTACGTTCTTCACAGTATGTAATCAACATGAAATCAAACTAGTTTCTTTGTACTTTGGTAGTTTTGGTAGATTTGGCACCACCTGAACATATAATACTAAGACGTACTAACACCATGCTACAGTATGACTCATAGTTTGGTAGTTGCCTATCATTTTGGTATGCTTATCCTTGGCCATTTTGGTCCTTCAAACTCTTTTGACAATTCACCACCTTCAGTGCAGCTGTGAGAGCACCACCAAACAGAACAGATAACACAAAGACCAAACAACAGGATGACTGAGTCCAACAAACTGTACATTCATTATTGTGTGCAATCAACAAGAAATCGGACGATTACACAATTTATAGTTTGGTAGATTCCTATCGTTTTAGTATATTATCTTTGGCCGTTTTGGTTTCTTTGACATTTCACCACCTTCAGTCCATTGAGGGCACAATCAAACCGAACGGAAATCCCAAAGGCCAAACAACCAAACTGTACATTCATCACACTATGCAATCAACATGAAATCAAACTAACCCAGAGCTTCGTAGTGTCGTAGTTTTGTATCCATGGCTGCTTTGGTCCATCAGAATGGTTAGATTGCTTCAACTGTACATTCATCACACTATGCAATCAACATGAAATCAAACTAACCCAGAGCTTCGTAGTGTCGTTGGTTGTAGGAAGAATCGGTGGAAACGTTAAACTCGAAAGTGTTTTCCGTGATCTCGCCTGTCTGTTTGTCCAGCTTCGTCAACCTATTCCTCCTGCACTATTCAGAAATCGTGAGATGCAGTCTGGTGTGATGTAGGTTTCAGAAAAACATCATCACACTATGCAATCAACATGAAATCAAACTAGTTCATCTTTGTACTTTGGTAGTTTTGATAGTTGTGGCACCACCTGAACATTAATACTAAGACATACGAAGACTATGCTACAGTATGACTCATCAACCAAACTATACCTTCGTCATACTATGCAATCAACATGAAATCAAACTAGTTCATCTTTGTACTTTGGTAGTTTTGTATCCATGGCTGCTTTGGTCCATCAGAATGGTTAGATTGCTTCCGTACCACCCTGGAAACAATAATTAAAAGGTATTTACCTCTCCCAGAGCTTCGTAGTGTCGTTGGTTGTAGGAAGAATCGGTGGAAACGTTAAACTCGAAAGGGTTTTCCGTGATCTCGCCTGTCTGTTTGTCCAACTTCCTCAACCTGCCCTGCTCGTTGAACTTGTAGCCGAAGCCCTCGATGCTTTTGGGAAAGGTGACCTCCCTGGATGACATCCTCGCCGAGTTACACTTGAAGACGAACCCTGAGAATATGCTTCTGCAGTTAACCCTAAGGCAGAACATCTCGCCTCATCGGAGCATCCCGCATCCCCTTTTTTTACATTTTCCGACGGACGGAGAACCGTTGGGGAAATTACATAAACGGGCGGAAGAATAGTTAAGACACCAACCTATACTGATAACAGCATACACGACTCATGTAAACATCCAGCACTGATAGTTACACATCCCACCACTCTTCGTCTTCATTTTCAACATGCACTGTGTCATAGCCGGGGAACACCATAGAATTCACAATACAACTAATAACTAAAGTTGACAAGGATCTTCGCCAAGGATGTTATAACATTCAGGAAAGATGTTACCCTAATGAGACCTAAAATTAGTAAACTGGTGCACTCTGAAAAATCAGAAGTTCCGTTTAAATCAATTCAAGAAGCAAACATGGTGTATACAGAAGCAAGACAGAAACCAGCGAAGGGTGTGCTACAATTGCATACCAGATTGATTCTGAAAATATTAAGTTATCAAACCATTGCAGCAACAATCAAGCCAAGCAGTTAGCAGTAGCCAAGACGCTGGAATGGTTGTTAAATTCATTACGAGATGCCAAACTCCAAGCAAGAACATTAATTAGCTCAGACAGTGAAGTTGCAACTGCCCTGATAATCGGTTTGATACAACCACCTGCCAGTAGAAAAAAGAAAATAGAAATACGAGACCTCCTAGGACGCCTCTGGCCTCTCCCTGATAGATCAGGGGGAGTCACCCACCTTGTTGCCTGAGCGACTCCGAGGTTGGGCTCTAGTCAGGCGCCATCGACTTCTTTGGTCATTTCGGTCCCTAAAACTAGTCATTCTCACACTCACTCATACAATAAATACATACATACTCCTATATACAAACCCAATCATACATGCATATCCATCTAGAATCTGGGTCGAGGGTACTCGATATTCCACCCTGACCCGGCTTGGCAGAGCAGCGGTGGAGTCTTGAAATAATATGCTGCACCGCTGTCTAGCATACTCCTATTCTAACATAAACTAAATCTAAACTTTAACCTACGAAATAAATACCCCACTATGTACAACTCATTATCCCAATATCTCTTAAAAAGCTAAAAAGTTTTTCCTTAAACTCGCTGCTTGAGCATTCTCCTATAATCCGGTGGTATTCCATTTTGGTCCCTATACAGGGCCAAGCTGCAACACCCCTCCAACACGTGCAACACTGTGAGTCTGTCATCTTGGCATGATGGGCACCTGGGTCGACTCGCGCCAACCAACAGGTACCCATGAGTCGCACGTGTGTGACCAATCCGCAGGCGGGTTAGGACAACGCTTTCCCTTCGAGATATCCCCTCTGTGCTCCACCGGTTGACTGTCGGCTTGACGGGCACAAGCACATCAGTTCAGTTGGCCCAACGACGCTTCCACTTGTCTAATATCATATTTTCACTATTCTCTTAGCATCGTCAGGCCAAATCGGGGTGGTCTCAACATCATCACTGTGAGGAACAAGAGTACCCTCTGTCGTGGTCCGGTTGAAGGAATCAAACATCTTGGAAGAATTCTGAAGGCTTTCGTATGCGACAGATTGGTCTGCAATGTGTGAAAGCCATTGTAATTATTATTGTATACAAAACATCACATTTATACTTCCCTTCGCCTTGGCAAGTTTTTCTTTAAGATGGGTCCTCAAGGATATAGGAGGGTCAGTATTATACTCAGAAATTTATAATGTTTTACCATTTCAATTTCACTGCCCTGGAAATACCACTTTTTTGCTAGTGACCCTCAAAATTTTTAAAGACAATTATTTTAGGTTTAGTGGTTCATTGGTGGATTTGATGTAAAAGGATGATCAAAAACTTTTGAGATATTTATATAAACTATAAGGTTTTGGTTGAAATGCAGATAAGATACTATGTATATGTATAGTAGAGTTGAAACTATATAAAAATAATGAATAGTTGAAGCGTAAATAATAATAATAATATACAATAGATAAAAGTATGTACATATTCAGCATAACAAACTCAAATAAAATATTATAAGTATTGTGTCATAATACACATGTGTATAAAAATATAATAATAAGGAATTATAAACATTTAATTAAACAACAAAAATAAAAAGTTTTGAAATTGATATTTTTTCCTTCCTTAAAATAATTAACTTTAATTTAAATAATATTAAAATCAAAAGGATTTTTTTTTTTAAATCTGCGTTAAATTCTGTTATTTATTTTTCAAAAGGAATTGGCCTACATACAAACGGTCTTTAAAAAAACACTTCCGCAACACTTGCAGGTTGTGCGGGTTTAGTCTACTGAACATAATTACTGATTGACCCTTCCCATAAAATCTCTCTCTCTCTTTCTCTCTCTCTCTCTCTCTCTCTCTCTCTCTCCCTCTCCCTCCCTTACCTTACATAGAGGTAACTAATAGATTTCCTGTTTACTCTCTCTCTCTCTCCTTCTCTCTCCCTTTTTCTCTCCTCCCTATTTCCTTTTTACTCTCTTCCTCTCCCTCTCTTTATTGATATCTTTTTTTTCTCTTTTTATATATTTTCATCTCTTTTGTTTCCACTCTGTCTATTCATCTGTGTCACTCTCTCTCTTTCTTAATCTTTATTTATCTTTGCCTTTTACCATTCATCTCTTTAAATTCTACATCTCTCTCACCCGCTCTCTCATACTCTCTCTCTCTCTTTCTCCCTGTCTTCTTTTTTACTCTTTCTCTATCTCTAATTCTCTTCCCTCATTCACTTTTCTCCTTTCAACACATTGTTTTTCTATTTCAACTTCTCTCACTATCTTCTTTATCGTGCCTGCTTTGAATATGTTCTTTCTCATTCTCTCTTACTTTTCCCACACACACATATTCTCTCTCTATTTATTTGTTTGCTCATTAGATTGTGATCTTTTCTTCTTCTCTCTTGCACTTTTTCTCTTTACCCTTCTCTTTCTTGTGTCCCTCTCTTTCCTTCTTTCTCTGTTTGTATTTAGCCTTTCTGTCCATCTCTCTCTCTCTCTCTCTCTCTCTCTCTCTCTCTCTCTCTCTCTCTCTCTCTCTCTCTCTCTCTCTCTCTCTCTCAGAATCTACAAATAACTACAACAAGACTGCGATTCGTGCACACATGTCTGATAGAACATCTAAATAGTACATACATACTGCCAGTGTCAACAGAAAAGCCTGCACAGACAGCACACCACATAATATTTCAGTGTGAAATATACAAAAGCGAAAGAATGCTTTTTTCAAAAACACCGGTTCTTTTTTTTAGAAACATTATAAGAACTATTAATATTGCTATAAAAGTTGCAATCAAGGTGCGTTGGTGGCCTCAATGGTTTAGGTTTTGACACAGCGCTGCTCATCACTGTAAGGTAAAGGTCCTGGGTTCGAATCCAGCTGCCCTGAATTCAAACCCAACATACTTACAAACGAGCTTTTTTTTTAATCAAAAACACTGATAATCCAAGGGTTGATATCTCTGCTGTGGCAAACCCACATTAATAAAATAATAATAATTAAATAAAAATAAAAATGTTACAATGACAGTTTACTACATGAATGTTAGGTTTCTATTTATCTTTGTTTGATTTTTTCCTGCAGGAGCTAAAAACTGCCAAGAGTTATTTGACAATTCACAAATAATCTGGATACGGTATGGTCTGTTTAAAAATTTGAAAACCAAAAAAATTTGAAACCATTAAAAACTTAATTAAGTTAATTACAAACTCAATTTGTAGATCTATTTAAGATTGTATTGCCCTGATGATGACCTTAAAATAGGTCAAAAGCTTGGCGAATAAAAATGAGTAAAAAAAGTGAAAAGTTCTAAGATACAATTTCCTATGTTTTTCTTGTTTCAGCATTGAAAAATAGATTTAAAAAATTGTAAGTTCTCTTAGTTAGTTCCAAATTACTGTAAATAGTTTTTAATCATTGTATAATTATTCATATTTATATTTTGTTCTGATAAATAAAATTTGTATATTTTATTTATATTTATTTTTTAATTATGTACATTGAAGTAATACTTGATGCAAGTGTACATATAATCTACAGTTGACTTCTTACACTTTTTGATTTCTCAGAGTCTGAATGTGACTGTTGATCACCAGAAGAACTACCATCGTCTTCTTGGCGTGACATGATTGATGGTTCGAGAGATCCTGATCCAGATTCATATTCGTATGTTGAAATTGTCACTTCATCTTGTTCAGCTTCTTGTTCTGGGCTCAGTTTCGTAATAGAAAGTTTTCCTTCAGTTTCTTTGACAATTCCCATTGTTTCCTTTGTAGTGACGGCTTCGCTTGATAAAGCGCCTTCTTCACTTTGATGTAGAGCTAGGCTTTTTCTGCTTTGATTTGACACCTTTAAAAATCGATCAGATCCTTCTGAAGTTAATTCTTTTTGGTCCGTTAATTCCTCGGCCTTAATGTCAGATTTTGAGTGAATCACGCCTTTTATGGCATCCTTGATAATTTCAACGGCAAACCCGCCTGGGCTTAATTCTTCTTCTTCCTTGCTTTCAGGAAGAGCACCTGATTCCTCAGTGGAAACTTCTTCCAATTCTTTCAAATCTTCTTCTTCTTGATACTCTTCTGTCGGTGTTTCTGTTTCAGTTATAGAAGGAATCACCTTTCTTACGAGATCCGAAACAATATTTTGCATCGCAGTTGCAGTAGAAATAGAGCTCGCGATGGCTTTTTGCTGGTAGGGCTTCTTCTCTATCTTGGATAAGATATTCGGTTGCTGTTTAAACTTCAGGGCACTGATTTGGTTCAAGAGATATTCTTTGTATGCCATTTGACAAATTACTTCTTTTTCCAATTCCTTCAAATAGCTTTCTAAGTCCAGCCGCCTCCTATTGTTTCTGGATTGTAGTAGCTCTTTCTGAAATACAAATGATAAAATATTTTTTCTTGTATGATATGGGGTTTTCTGAATATGAAATTTAGGGAAAGCAGATAGCACCAAAATTTATATTAATCAAAATATTTTTTTTATTTAAAAAGATTTAAAAACATACAACTAAGAAATAAGGAAAAGTGGAAATTTAAAAAAAAATGTTCTTACTTGCGTCTGCTGCATATTTAATATGCGTGCAGTGATTTTATTTCTTTCCTCTTGAATTGAGTATAGCTCATGATACTGGTTGGTCTGTTCTTTCTTCGCCTCTAACAATTGTCTCTGTTGTCTTCTAATCGATGCCTGACCAAAAAAATATTTAAAAAAATTATACCGATGAATAAAAGATAAGTTTTAGTAAAAATAATGTACATCTTTCATGTAATTTCTGACGCGATCAACCACGTTTGAATTTTGCTGTGCTTCTTGGATAATCCAGCTTGTAATTACTTCTTCGAGATGACTCATGTTTACGTGCATCCCAAACTTTTTCACCATCTCGTCTTTTTTCTCATTTTTCAAATCCTGGCATTGGCTCTTCATGTAGGCGATGTCTTTTCTCAGCCGTACAATGTGATCTTTGCATTTTCTAAATCAAACGAGCAAATTGAAATTACGATACGTTTAGCCTCGTTTTGTACACTTACTCCTTCCCCTTGTTGAATGTTTGAGTTTCCTTTTCCAAATCTTCAGCCTTACTTATCAACTTCCGAATTGTATTGGCACCTATGAGCACACACTGGTTTAGAGGTGGAAAAGACTTTGTGTGTTTGTTGTAATGCTGGATTTGAGAGGGCTTTAAAACAACAACTTTCCATATTTTGTTACACGCATCTTGCTTGCATTTCTTTACAAGGGAAAATAGTTAAAAACTATAAATTTATTTATATTGATTTTTTAACATACCAAAAAACTGTCCATTTGTGAGTTAAATATTGCTAGTATTGTTTCAACCATTAGAAGTTTTTTTCTTAGTGTTTCCAAGTCTTTAATGAAATTTTGATTTTGAGAACGTGCTTCATTGACCTTTGCTTCTTCTACATGCCTTATTAAACAAAGATGTAAATTTTTAACATTCTAAGTCTGGGAAACTATGTATTTAAAGTACCTTTCAGCACGAAGGCTAAACGTTTTTTCAAAAATTTCAGGATCGCAGTCATCAGGGCGGATCTTCTCGTCAAACAGATATGCACCTCCAACGGCCACCTGAAGGTCGTCTCCCTCTGCATCATCATCAAAATCCTCATCAAATGAACTAGAAGACGAGGAGTCATCATCATCATCTAAAAAATTAATGTGTCGTTTGATTAAAATTTCTATTTTATAAACTTATTTCAATAAAAATAATACTTCGTTTTTTAGGAGGCTTGTATTTTTTTTTAAACACCTCAGTCAGATGTTTGGTGTATTTATTGTCTTTTACCACCTCAAGGAACTGATTCACAATTGTATTAGAAATTGCAGTGCTTTTTTCAATTATAATATTATTTTGGTTGATTTTCTTTTTTCTTATAGAAATCTGCAATAAAATTATTATTTTATTATCATTTTTGTTAATTTATGTGTGATGTAATTAAAATCAGCCTAAAATATCGTAATTTTATATTTAAAAAAAAAAACTCAGTTCCTTCATTGCTTTAAGGATTATATCCCTTCATCAGGATTTTAAAACCATCATTAATAATGAACAAAGTTAACAATTATAAACATCTAATTGTAATATTGAATAGTTTCAAATATAATTTTTTGGGGGGAGGGGGAATGAGTTGTGTGAAAAAATGGGCCAGGGGAAATGGTGGGAATTGAACCCATGACCGTGGGGTCTATAAGACAAGAGTCTATCACCACTCGGCTACTGCTGTCCCCATAATGAATTATTAGTTAAATGTACAATGAACAAGATTGACATTTTTGTCATAAAATCTATATATCATACCTGTAATAATGTAAGATGTTTCATTTTGATCATGTCACTCGCTTTTGTCTTGACACCGACTTCTAATGTATTAAATCCCCTTGTTATTTCAAGTTCTTGAATTAAATAATAAAGTTCTAATTTTGTTTTTATGATCTTTTTTTCATATTCCATCCTTTCGTATGAAAGACTTTTTAAAGACTTGTCATACTCTTGAATTTTATTAATTAAACTTAATGATTTAGCATTTACTCTCTCTCGAAATCTTTAAAAAAAAAAGAGGTTTTAATATCATTAATTCACTCTGAAGAATCGAGGAAAAATTTACTTCATGTTACGCTTGTAAATCATATCTGCTCTCCAAGGATGAACCGGAAATATCTTTGCCAAAGTCAAGTGATCTTTGTATGACAACATACCGGGTAACCATGTGTAATTTATGTATTTATTCACATTTTCCGCCTCATTGTAAATTTCATGAAGGTTGGAATTATCTCCGTATAAATTTTTACGTTCTTCCTCCAATTCCTGAGAGATCGGTGGAAGCGGGTCGTCAAGAATACAATGAGGTGGTGTATTCTGAAAACACGATATTTATTGAAAATTAAATTTGAACTTTGCAAAAAAAAATTAAATTACCATAAAAAGCTTTTCAGGGAATTCTAATTCGGTGTTGAAGTTTGGAGTCCTAGGTAAAATTATATCATCTACACAACATTCCTGCGACATGTAATCAAGATTTCCTTTTAAAATTTGGAACTCTCGTAAAATATTAAACTTTTCATTTCTCAATTGCTTGACTTTTGAGTTGAACTCCATTTTAATATTGTACAGCTGAAATATTTATTATATCAGTTAATTTTCTATGTTTTTAAACAGTAAAAACTCACATCTCTCCTGGCCTTAAGAACGAGCCAGTATTGTTCATAGAGTGTCTTTCTGTGTTCCTTCGGTGTTCTATATTCTGGATTCAATTTTAGCATGTATTGTGCATTAGCGTGATTTCCTCCCAGATCAGGAAGAAGATAATTCTTCTTGCCGTGTTTTTCTTTCATTTCATTTAATTCACTAATCTAAAATTCAATTTTTTTCTTTCGTTTTTTTTCTAAACAAGTAATTATTTAATAATTTGCAAAATTAGATCGGACATACATGTTCATGGATACTCCTTCTTTCTCTTCTCGACTCAGTTATTCTGTTTAAAAGTTGCAAATTTGCCCTTGACATTTGACCATTTTCGAATAGCTTCTGACCAACTCTGTCGATCACGGCGAGCATATCTGTACATTGCTTTTGGGGCTTTTTTGCCTTTTTCTGAATTTTTTTCGCCACATCTTTTAATTTTTTAGCAACCGCTCTTAAAAAAAAAATTATTAAATAATTGATGTGAAACAATTTTCATAAAAATTATTTGGCTATTCATTGCTTAAAAAAAAGAAAAAAAACATTAAAATTAAGTCTGTTATATTTAGTGGTCTATTGACCAAATTACTTCTTTCAATTAATCAATCCTTTTATGGATTAAGGAGTTTTTTGGTTGAAATGAAAAAGCTAGTGTCATGAGCAGGATTCGAACCCACGACCTTTGGCTTAATACGCCGCTGCTCTACCACTTGAGCTATAGCTAGAGAGGAGGTGCAGGTCGAGCAGCAGCATATTTAGCCAAAGATTGTGGGTTCAAATCCTGCTTGTGGCACTATCTTTTCCATTTCAACCAAAAACCTTACATAAAAAGATTAATTAAAATGAAGCATTAAAAAACATGGTCAACGAATCATGCACATGCCTTAAATATTTGGCAAGCTCGAACTTACGATGTATTTTTTGTCGCCTCTTTCCATGCCTCTTCTAGGAAGTAAAATAAAAACTATTTAAACATTATGAAAGAATAAACAATTTAGCTATTAACTGAAATTTTTTTTGTTAAATACTGAACAACTTACAATCAGGTAAAAAATATTTTAAAAAATACCAACAGCGTTTTAAATTTATTTTAAATTCACTAATTTCGTGGTCCGCTTGACCAATTAAATCATTACAATTAATTAAGGTTTTTAGTTGAGATGAAAAAAAGTTAATGGCACGAGAGGGATTCGAACCCACGACCTTCGGCTAGATACGCCGCTGCTCTACCACCTGAGCTATCGTGACCTCGATCCACTCGGATGAGGGAAAACTCATAAGGTGGGGTTGAGATGGGGAGTTGAGTCCGAGTGCATCAAGGTCACGATAGCTCAGGTGGTAGAGCAGCGGCGTATCAAGCCGAAGGTCATGGGTTCGAATCCCTCTCATGCCATTAACTTTTTTTCATCTCAACTAAAAACCTTAATTAATTGTTTATTTTAAATATTAAATTGACTGAATTATATTTAATTAAATATGCTTTAAGTCTCTAAACCTAAATAATGTTGACACATTTTTTATGATTGAATTTCTTAAGATTAATTTAAGCATTTATTTTTATCTTACAATAAATTAATTTATATATTTGATGTTTTTAAAGTGCACTGATTAAAATGTGCATCGTAGAAATATTACCTGCCTCTTCTTTCCTGATCATCCAAGTGAGCCTTGGTTATCCTCTCAGCTTCTATAAATTCTGGTGTAAGCTTTACTTCTCGGAAAGTACAGACCGATACCGGTGCCCTGCGGTAAAAGAGTATTGATTTTTTTATAAATTTTTCTGGAAAATTGCTGCATTACCTTATCCCAAATTGGTAAATAGGGAATGTTTTGATAGGTTTGACACAAGCATTATACATTTTGTTTCTTAACACTTTTGCTTTTTGAAATTCAAATTCATGCTTCTTCTTGAAATCGTCTATCTCTTGGTTGTATTTCTCTATGATTGATTGATCAACTTGTTGGCTGATGATGAATGTTTCTTTTGACAACCGCTTTGACTCTGGAAGTTTCTTATTCCTATAACAAAAAACAAAAATATAATTTTTGATAATGATAGCAACACAAGAATTGCCTTTCAATAAGTTCTTCATATTTGTCGGCCAGTTCGTTGATTTTTTCTTTCATTTCCATCTTAATTGTTTCTGATATTAATTTTTTCTTTTCCTCCCTTAATGCTGCTTTTTGCTCTTCGAGTGATGGCTCGTTGGGGCTTATTATCCCGGAGATTCCAAAAGTCGGCTAAAAAAGGCAAAAATCAATATCCGTATCGTATAAATTTAACCGCAATAACTGACCAACGGTCCGATCCCTGGTAATTTTTTTTTCGTCATTTCTTTCTGTTCGACAGGGAGGTTGAAAGCGTAAGAGAATATCCCGCCATCGGTTCCGCAAGAGTATGCAATCGTGTTGTCGCAAGAGACGGCGAGATGTGTTATTCTTTGCCCGGTTGTCACATGCATTCCAATCTCTAAATAATCCGACAAGTTGGCCGGGTCGGATTGGTGTGTTTTGACTAAACGAATGCAACCATTGCTCATACCCATTAATAAATACTTGTTATTAAATCTGTTAACATGAATTTTATCATCTGACCGTGCTACTCTAAAATTACTGCATTTTAAATTATTACATGCTAATACAAGTATGGATGGCGAGTTTGCGATCTGTCCCTGGAATATCGAGCACACGATTCGGCCATGATTCACCAATATTATATTCGTAAAAAAAACCTGCATCGTATCCTTCAGGTGATATCCATACAGATTTATCTATATATCTATAATTATAAAATAATAGAAATATCTTTGTTAAAGACTTTTCCCAAAACAAGAAAATACAGATTATATAATATATAATAATCATTATTTAATAATTATTTATTTATTTACGGATCGAAATCCTCTATAAAAAAAGACATTTTACAATAACAAAAAATATAAATAATATATGTAAAAATACAAATAATATATATAAAAAAAATAAGGACGTATATACATGGTAATAATAAAAATGGTAAATATAAATGATAAATATAAAAATACAATTAAAGAGTAAAAACTGAACAACAAAAATGAAAGACATAATTACTAACCAAATAAGGCAGAGGAAACAAAATAAAGCTGAAAGACAATTGAAATGCCTACGTAGAATATTAGGTGTCTCCCCAGCACTCCTATCTCTGCATTGTCTTCAGAATCCTGCGAACCTCCCCTAAATTTTAGAAGGGAAAAACTTGCTGCAAAATGTTTATACAAGTTCTTTGGTAAAGCAAGCCCGTCCTTCGACTGTGTTTTTTATCTCAGAAAGTTCTCACTGTCAGATACTGGCAAAGGAAGAGAACTCCACTCCTAGTGGATATCTTTCTCGAGTTAGCCCCAAGCATATACAGTCTTTATTCCAATAAAACTATGCCATTGTACGACACGGATTATGAGGCTATCTTAAATAAATCGAATTGCCGCATTCTCAACGACTATTTCCACTTTCCGGCCTATCTGGCACAAAATATGTTTCAAGCTGATGTAAAGGATTTATTTCCTGATCATCGACTCATTTATACTGATGGTTCGGTATTGGATGGAAAAACGGGTTGTGCTTTTTATGACACCTTTAGTGAGCACAAGGTTTTTTTCTTCTGCCTGATTCTTGCAGCATTTATACTGCTGAAGGAGTCGCTCTCCACAGAGCACTAGAGCATTGTAAATCTGTGGATTCACAAAAAATATGCATCTTAACAGACAATCTAAGTTATGTTAATCAAATCCAAAACTTTAGTGTGAATTCTAAGACGGAATACATTTTTGCCAATATTATCCAATGTTTATTCGACCTTAAAAATATGAATAAAGAAATTGTAATATGCTGGGTTAAGGGTCATTCAGGGGTGGTACCCAATAAAATAGTTGATGCACTAGCTAAGCGGGCCACTATTGAAGGCACTTTACTAGATATAAAGCTACCTATAAATGATGCTTATAATAAGTTTTTAATTAAAAATAGGAACAGATGGCAAGAGAGCTTNCGGATTCCAGGGTAGGCAGAATTCGGAGGAAGATTGAGTTTGTAGGAAAGTTTTTTTAAAAATTTGTTTTGTACAGATTGAAGAATTTTTTGATAATTTAGATAGAATGGGTTCCAAACAGGTGTAGCATATTCTAGTATGGGTTGTACAAAAGCTTTTTAAAGATGGACAAAACATAGAGGATTTTTAAATTCATAGGTGTTCCAGATGATGAAACCTAGCATCTTCATAGATCTAATTTTTATTGAAGAAATATGTTCTTTAAACTTGAGCTTTTGATCAAAAAGTACACCAAGATCCTTTACGACCTCAACTCGCGTTAAAAGAGCAGAGAGTATAGAGATAAATAAAAGGTTGTTTCTTATGAGAGAATGTAATTGTGTAGCATTTGGAAACATTAAGAGCAAGTTTGTTATTAGAGCACCAGGTTAGCACATTATTGATAGAATTTTGTAATTTAAGCAATCAGAAGGAGAAGTGATTATCGAATAGATGTTCAGATCATCAGCAAATAATAAAAATTGAGCAGAAGGGATATCATTAATAAATAAGAGAAACAAAACTGGTCCAAGAAGACACCCTTGCGAAACTCCCGAGGAAGGGACATGATTTAAATGATTTTATTTTGACTATTTGTTTTCTGTCGGAGAGAAAGCTGGATAACCAATTCAAGATAGTTCCGGTGAAACCATAATCCATTAGTTTCCTTAACAATATTGTGTGATTTACTTTATCAAAAGCTTTAGAAAAGTCAGTATACACTGAGTCTACTTGATGTCCAGAGTTTATTGCATCTAAGATGTAATTTTGAAATGTGAGCAGGTTAGTAACGGTTGATCTATTAGAGCAGAAACCATGTTGCTGAGTGTGAAGATCCCCAGAAGGGAATCTTAAACGGGGTTGTAAAAATTTAAGTTTGTTATAAATATTAAAAATTAGACGTAGAAATAGGTTAGCTAATTGTTGGGAAAGCGTATTGTGCCGGGGTGAGTAACCGGAGGTGGCCTGGAATAGCGGGAGCCGACCCAGTCCTTCTTGGGAACTCCAGACACAGCTAAAAAAAAAAAAAAAAAGCTGGCGAAATAATGACAGCTGGACGTTTTCAATTGAGAAATGTGGGTCTATCCCGGGGCCCTAGAAAAATTGGCTGTTGTGCTGACGACTGGCCTTATTGCTCAACCCTCAGGATTAGCTGATGCCAGGACTCATCCAAAATAGCTCAATGACCTGGAGAGGACAAAGGGCAGTCGGGTCACCCGGAAGCATAGCAGTATTTTCGAAATGCAATTGTTCCCCACTCCTCCCTGAATGGATTGATATAAAAAGGACAATCAGAGAGTCCGGGCAGAGTCCGAGAAGAGAGTCTGAAGAGAGTCCAAAGAGAATCCGTTTTGAGTCCGAAGAGAGAATCCGGGTGTCCGAACCGACGGAACAGATGCACGTATTCCAGTCCTGTAAGTACAATTTTTGTCAATTGGTTTGCGGGAGATTTGGAGAACAGTTGGGCGATTTCAGGCTACTTTTAGTACTATGACCCCAATAATTAAGCACCTAGTATTAGGGTTTCGTTATAGAGAGTAAGAGCATTAGTTCTATTTAGAATTAGTCTTCCAGTAATAAGTTTTGTATATGAATTGTTTAATAGGAAATAAGGGTTGCTATTTATATGAAGGGTTAGGGCATTATTCACTCGTTGATTATACATATTGGGAATTGTACAGTGATATCAAATAAAGGGACCTGGTGTTTTGTCTGAATTGGTGTATCTTTCCCCCAAACCTCCTTGTCCAGAGTTAGTAGTAAGTAAGGAAAGGGTGTTCACCCATCAAGCCGGGCAACCTGACAAATCTTACCCCTAAAAGGCTTGACGGGCCTAGAGTGGAGTAGCTCGCTACCCTCTCGGAGCACCCTAGCGAGAGACGGTGTTCAAAGGAGCGCGAGCCGCGCTCACGGAAAAAAGGAAACCGCTCGTCACACTGAGGTATAATAAAAGATTTAATGTCATTTTTAAGTTTATTNATAATATATAATAATTATAATATATAAGTATTATATAATACTTATATATTAATTTCATAATTTAATGATCTTAAAACTATTAAATCTGATTATCAATGCATGATTTAAAAATATTTCAATAATTTAACAACAAATTATTGTATTTTATTAACATTATCATTTGTAGATTCATTGTATCTGATCATTTTTAGTATATCAGACAGGTTTTTATTGTATATGGGGGACCCAGGATGATTAGAAAAATGTCAAACTAATCACCATACCAAAGATAGGAAATCTCATAAAATTATTAATAAGTGTAAACATTAATAAACAAATAAAATAATACAAACTTTGCAAAATTAATTCGAGTCTTTCCCACAGGTACGTAAACGTCTGGCAAATCCTCATATTTTTCAGTATCAGCTATAAAAACCGAAAATTCAAATATAAGAAATCAAAATAAAATATGTGTTTATTTTTTGTACCTAGGAAAGCTTCTTCGTCGATAATAAAGCCTGGATTTGTTTCAAGGAGTCTTGCGAGTTCTTCTTTTTTCTTTTCTAATTTGTCCTCTTGCCTTTTCCTTATCCCTTCTCGTACGAGATTCCTTAAAATACAACCTTTAACACTTTTGAAATTAGTCGTTTTGTATTTGACCTTCAGGAGGTATGTGTCTTTTTCTATAGGGTCATTGAGTATTTTATCAGAAACTAGCACTTCGGACACTGTCCCCACAGACGTGCTTACGAGGAACACGAATACATCCTAAAGATTTAACCTTTTATAATTTAAATCGCCAGAGAATAAAATAATACAACTAATGGTTACCTTAGCTCTTTTTAACTCAATGTGAGTGACCGGACCTGGCATTTTTATAAAACCCAACGGCTTTAACTGGCAAAAATTATAATAAGGAAGAACTTCATATATAAACACGGTGCCATCGACACTCCCAGAAAGCACATGATGGTGACCATATTTTGTTTTCGCAACCAAACATGAAATTGATCTTTTATGAGGTTTAAGTGCCTGAAAAATAAAAAACGTTTTATTACTGTCAATATTATCAAATTGTATTTATATAATAATTAAATATAAATTTTCTGTATATTTGTAACCAAAATTTAAAAACAAGATTTCAATTATTTATAATAATTATGAATCTAATAATTGAGTAAAATTTACTTGAAAATTGTTTAAAATTTTATCTTTGATTTTTATTTGATGTTAAAAAAAATTTGTTACCTGTATGACATAAACATACTCCATAACTTTCTCTTCGCTATTAAATTCTTTTGCCTTGATACATACAACTACGACTCTTATCGTTCCATCCGAAAATCCAAGTATAAGCACACATGCAGTTGGATCGATCTATAATTGATAAGTTTAATTGGGAAAAAAAATTACAATAAACTTTTTAAAATTTTCCCACCTCTAATGGCAGCCAAAGTAGAGCTGTTCCTTTGAGTGGGAAAGTTTTGGTAAGTACAATCTTCTTTTTGTCGTTGTTCTGAATCAGCAATTTACCATCGATTCCCAACGTGGCGAAATAATGGCCAATGGGAGAGGGCGCTAAACCAGAAATGGGTCCAGCATGCGTTTCCAGAATTTTGGTCCAAGGGTCTGCATTGGCACTAAGCGATAAATCAATCATCCAAATCCCACCATTCTTATCCTTAAAAAATTTAAATAATCAAAAACCACCTTTGACCGTCGTATGTGATTTTAATACCTGTAAGAAAAAATGATGGTCATCTTCAACTCCAACCTTTGGGAGAAGCTGAACAGGACAAGCAGTTTTTCCATCGCTGTCGATTATTTCTCTTTCAAACGACGGTTGCATTTGAAATGGCTTGTTATGCGGCCATGCATTTAACATTTTTTCATAATCCCAAACTCTTATTTTACCATCCATGCCTATGAAAAAATATTTGAACAAAAATGAACAATTAGATTCTTGTTATTACATTTTGTTACCGACCTGCTGTAAAGACGTTGTTTTCTTTTGGGTCAAAGTGAAAAAAAGTGATTATACCATCATGTGCTGGTTGCATTTCCTTTCTTGATATTTCAAATTTTACAGTAGTGCCATCCCAGAAAAACATATTACCCCAAGGACAATTGGAAAAAATCTAGAACAAATTATATAAAACAAACAATCTTTAAATAAAATTGTCCACTATGAAAGTCCAAAAAATCTTGTCATAGATATAAAATTGCAAATACAATCTGAGTATTAACATTTTAGTGTTTTATGGTGATTTAACAACCTTATTGTCCTTATTTATGATGAATGTGGAAATATTGCAGATATCAGCAGGACCAAATTTACCATAAGCGCCTTTTATTTTCATCCCTGTGAATGTAGATTCAATATTCCAAAACTTCAGATGATTTAGGCCTAGAAAATAAATAAATATTTAAAATTATACGTATAATTTAATTATTTGTCTTTGTACTTACCGCAACAGAGAAGAATAGAATTGTCCAACGGGGAAAATGCTGTTTTATAAACGCGTTGATTATTCGCTTTGACACTGAGATAAACCTGTTGCTCTTTCCATTTCCATATTGTAAGAAGATAATCAGGTTCGCTTGATTGTGATACCATAAGTTCACCGCAGGCGCTGTAATGTTTTCATTTTAATTGTGCCAATCAATTGAAAAAAAAGGCTGATTTACCTGAAGTCGAGGCCGGCAAAAGAATATTTCGCGCCCCCTCTGAGTACAGATATTATATTAAAATCCGGCCAAGTGTAACACACGATATCTGGAAAGTTGCCCTTTTCTGCGATCGCTATCTCATAGCCGACTGGATTTTTCTACAAAAGAAATTTGTAAACACTAATAAAAACAAAAATATTCTAGCTGGGATTGCTTACAGCTATAAAAGATATTCCATCTTTGCCTGAAGACCTTCTAAATGACATTTCTTTCGAATAAGGGTTCATCATGTGAATTATATGTCCGCAGTGGTACAATAGTGTTTTTTTATCGGCAACACAAAGATTGAGACTGCTCACACAATCATAACCATACGAGTGTCTTAACATCATTAAGGAAAAATAATTATACTTCTAAAAGCTAATAATGCAATTTTTTTTAATACAAATTTTATATTAAAGGAGTTTTTTTCAAAGTATCTAGCTGTGCCATTTTGTTAAGAATTTGAATATTTTTTTTAAATCCATCTAAAAATGTTGAATATGCTTAAAAACTTTTAATTTTTAACAACATGGATTGGAACAAAAGAACGTGAAAGAGGGAAAAAATACGCTGTTGGATCTAGAACGCAAGAAGGTACGGAGGCAGGAGTATTCAGTCCTGGAACCAAATACTCAAAACCCATGAGAAATAAGTAAGTAATAATAATAAATAAACAATATTTCTAGACAATTCTAGACAGAAGTCCGTGCAATTGTGAGATTTACTCGATTTAATTTTAAACAATATAAATATAGCTATCATATCTGATAGCATAGCAGCCATCAAGTACTAAGTTTAAACATCATTAACTCAAAATTGGGGCTGAATCGCAAAACAAAAATAATCAGCAAATTAAAATCGTCCTCTGCTGGGTCCCAGGACATTTGGGAATCATGAGCTGTGGGAAAGTGGACACCCTTCAAAGAAAGGGGCTGCTATACTGCCGTTGGGTCCTGAGCCCTTCTGCGGTTGGGATTAATACTATAAAATGAGTATCTTAGACAAAAAGACAAAATGAAAATGAGGAAACAGTGTAATTCACACAATTCAAGGACTTTCAACAAGTTTCGGAATGAAAGAAACAACAGAACGCATCAAAGAAATTAGGAAAAAACATAGAGTCCTATTAGGATTCTTAACAACTGCAGACTAAATGGGCATTTGAAGAAGATTGGTATAATCCAACTCGGCACATGCAGATTCTACAAAAAGCAGACTATAAGCCCACATGCTACACATTCAAAAATGCCTTTGTGCACAATAATCAGCATGAACCCTTGTAAGACAGTCAAATTTATATACTTTATAATTTATTAAATTTAAGTATTGAATAAGTCTTAAAAAAGGGTTAGGTGTGTTGGTTAGGCATTTCCATTGCTTTTTTTCCATTTTCAAGTGATAATTCCTCAACTATGTTTGAAAGAACTATTTTTTTTTTTTGTTATGAGCAACAATCAGTTCAACAACAATAATTGCCAAGGTTTTTTATCTTGAAAAAGAGCCCGAAGGAGCCCCAAACATAGCATCCAAACACCAACCACTGTTTTGATGTTTTGATTGATGCCATTAACTATGAATATTAAAAAATAAGCTTCCATGTTTGCAAAGATTAATAAAATTTATCCAACCACTAAAATTAGGCTTCAAGGGCTATCAACAACAATTTAATACCCCTATGCATGCAGTTTTAACCTAAACACACTCATTCTTAAAAGATTCTTTTTTTTTACATAACACTCAAGTAGGGTGGTGGAGTATTCAATATTCCTCCATCACTCATAACTAAAATAACTAGTTCGAGGTTGATGGGATCCTTAATATTTTATTATAGATGCTCTTGCACTATACACACATTCACGCTTATAAATACATTCTCACAAAACAGTTAACACAGAATGTATCTATCACCAAACAAGATTAACTTCTGTCAGCCCTTTTTCAGGTTTGATCCTTTTTCTGCAGTTTAGACTGTCTAGGGGCTATCTATCAACCAAGCTATTGGCACACAAGAGCTTAGATGACCCAGCCAACTGACGCCGGCATCTTTTCTTTGCCATATTCTTTATTACTAATTTTGCATCAGCAGGTTGGATCATAGTAGTAGTCTGAAGGGTGGACAACCTGTCGCCTTCCAGCCTGAAAACAACTACTAATGTTTTTCTGAGATGATCCAACTCAATATTTTGAAAGCATGACAAGAGGATCCATTAAAAATCTGTTCTTTTTGGACCCTCTGTACACTCAGGACATTGGTTAACATGAGGTGGGTCATTCCATTGCAATGACTCCAAGGGTGTGTCAGATTGCATATAGCTCAGTGCAAACACTGCTATGTGAGGGTAGAGTACAAGAAGTGGCATAAAAACAGGGATACCTCGACTCAAGTTCGAGGAACTTTGTAAGGTAGAGAAATGACACTGGATTTTCTTGGATGAGTATGGCCAGAATGACCCATGGCAGATTTATCTGGCTTCCCAGCTTGAGTACCATTTCCGAGAGATTCACCAAAGCGGATCTCATTTTGTGGTATCCTATTCTATTTATTTCAGTAATAAGTAAGATTTCTAAGTGTTAATTATTGACAAGTTAAAAATACATCGGTTTAATTCACATGATTGAGGTAAAAATTTGGAAAAAAAATCCATATGATATATGAACAAATTTGAGCAATTAAAATACAATTTAGACAATTTCTAGAATGAAACAAAATTCAAAATTATTTGTGCAATTTTAACTATAAAGTATTTTAAAAAAGGATACTGAAGTTCCATTGAATCAAGTTGCATGATTTTACCATTCACTTTTGGTTTATAAATGAAATCATCCAGATTAAGAAGATATCGTTCTTCATCGTGGAATTCATTTTTCTTTCCATCCCTCCTTGAAAGACTCTTTTTGCGATTAGATGACAGGTTTTTACTACTTGAACTTTTCAACAGTGTTGAATAGCTGGTGGTTGAAACAAGCTCATCAGTTTCTTCGACCTCTTGGTCTTCATTCGATGGGGCACTTGATATGCTTCGTTGTGGAGAGTAGAAGTCATAATTAGCATAATGGTCATCATCGTCCGGCAAAGCATCTAGCATCATCTGCAGTTTCTGGCTAGGAGGCTTTGGTGGTTGGGCTTGTTTATCTTCTTGACTCTCAGCTAGAGATAGTTCTTCTGACTTGGCATCATCGTCGACCCTTTCCAAGCTGAAGTCCGACTTATTCATGGTTACCCTGTCTTAAGATACTGCAAAATCCAAAAATGCTCGTTCGTTTACCTGATGTGAACGCGAAATCAAAATGACAATCTGGAATTTGATTATTCTTCAGCAACTGGTAACATTTTCAATGGATTCTGAAGATTTAATTTTTTTTCTTAATGCACTCTTGGATTCTATCAAAAATGTTTTTGCATAACAAACTGTAATAAAGGCAACAATAAACTATCTCATATGTTAACAGATGTATAAATGATAATTACAAGTATTTTCTACTGTCAATGTTTTTCTGTCTTTGCTATGGGCAACTATTAAACTAAACTGGGCGGGTGTTGAGTTTGATCAATACTTTATAACTCAGCTTAATAATCTTTACTGCTTATGATACAATGATATTTATAGGGAATTTAATAACAAGCAGAGATATTTGATGTTTTATTGTGATATAACAAATTTAACAGCGAAAATTGATGAATTTATTCAATTAAAAGCACTTTAAACAAACAGAAACTTGAGGTCTTTTTCTAATTTATAGTTTATGCTCAATTGAAATTATATAATAGAAAACCTTCAAAAAGAATGAATTTTCTAAATGTTTTCACTGCTAAACATTGTGACTGTTTACATTTGCACAAATATTTTTAGACTTCAAACGCAGGTAAATTGAAAGAAGACAATTAGTTTATAACAATTTGGTTTAATAAACACATCTTATTTGAAGGCTCAAGAAATGAACAACACATCAATAAAGTAGATAAAAAGGAGTCAAAACTTTCAAAAGCCAAGAGTGAAAATTTCACGTTCATTTTCATGTAAATGAGACCCATGTTTGAACATTTCCGAATCGTTCTAGTCTGCCTATTCTCACTGATTTTGTCTGTCAGGTGTGACATTGTGCTCTTGAACATAAATCAAGATACAAGATACAATGATTCACCTGTAATTAAAATTATGCTTGCTAATTCTCTTTTTGATGTCCCATTTAAAAAATTCACTCTTTAATAAAAAAATAAAAAATTATTTCTGAAAAATCGCCCTTTGCTAGCTAGCAGACCTATGAACAAAACATTACCATTATTGTCCCTTTAAAATACAAACGAAAGACAGTTTTGACTTTTGAAAAAGCGACAGAGCCTAAAGCAAAAGTTGTATTTCTTTGTGACCTGTTATTTCAAAATTTGTGAAGTCATGAGGAGTGTTCAAGAATAAGGTAGTTTAGAAAAACACCTTTTTCATTTTTTTGCCAATTTTTCAACCTTTATTCGGGTCATCTTCAGGGCATAATTCGTAGTACCATTCTTGTGGTGTCATATTGGCACAAAACCAATATAACACCACAGGAATAGCACCACGCTTTATACCCTGAAGATGATCTGAATAAAGGTCGAAACGTCAACCAAAAAATTAAAAAAGTATTTTTCTAAATACCTCATTCTTGACCGCTAAAGCAAAAGATTAATATTTTTAATAAGGTAGTTCAAATTAAAAACAAAAAAGACACAAGTGGGCTCTACAAATCTAATTATTGCAAATAAAATAAATAATGAAGATCATTTAGGATGGAAAATAGTAAAGGTCCAAGAAAAGGGCCTTGGGGTAGCAACTGAAATTGAGAAAGAAGAGGAGATAGAATTTGAAACTTTAGCTCTCTGAGTCTCTTCTCATCATAAGATTAGCAGAAATAGAAGAAAAATCTAAAAAATAAGCAAATTATGATTTGCAGAGCTGAATGCATTAAAAAAAAAAAAATCAAGTAGAACAGTAAGTACATTTTATGTCAATGCCTAGATGGATATGATCTGAGATTTTTAGAAGGTTTTGTTTTCCAGCTATGAAATTTTCAGAAGCCGGATAGAAAAGGAAATATAAGGGCATTTAGGATATTTGTTTGAAAAAATGTTTTTCAAATGCTTTATACAGTGATGGAAGAGTACTAATAGGGCATAGTCACTAGCAATGATGGGTTTAGGTTCTTTCAGGACGAGGTGAGAGAAAAGTTTAAAAAATGTAGGTTCTGTATTTTAATGTAACAGGAATAGAAAAAATTATGAGTTTGATAAGTGATTTAAATCAGATCAGACCCTCTAGCATTATATTTAATTGAAAAGGATAGCTCTAAACTCTTTTCCAGCGACGGATTTTAACAATTGAAGAAGTATTTCTATAAGTAATCCACCAATGTAAGAAGAAGATGCGACAAATATCAAGGAATTGATCGCTGGGTCCGTTAAGTTTCGCCGTTTTGTATAGCGTTTATTGGTTGACACCCAGCGCTCCTTGGGGAACCACGTGTTCTTCAACTACAGTAGACGCTTTTACTCTGTTGTCGTCAGAAACTTACGTTGAGGTTCTGTTTTCACTCTTGTAAGTTGTAAGTGTAAACTCGTTTCTAAAGAAATTATCCAATTTGTACTGCAAAAGAAAATTTCTTCGATAAATAAATCCAGGAAATGGAGACGATTCTGGAGCAGCAGAGGAGGTACCACGAGGAAAGGGAGAGGCTGATGGATGCCATGGTGAAAGAGATGCTACATAAAAAATCCAGTGTAAGCGTCAATTCTGTCTAAAAGTTAAACCGCAACATAAACATAAATAGTTATAAACATAAACGAATGATCCAATGTCCAAATGTCATTGGGGTGGATGAATTTATATAACAAAAATTTCACTCTAATTTAAGGTGTAGGCTGATCAACGATTTAATACTAGAATTACTATAAATAATAGAAGATCCTCCTGAAACGATTGATCCCTACACTTAATGCTTTCAGACCACTAATTTGGTTTTCACTCTGAACGTTCCTCACCCTAGCAAGTGCTTCGCTTTGTAGACCACATATCCTCATCATTAGAGCATAAAGCATACTGTATGGAGACCTTCCTAGATGTGTCAGAAGTATTTGACCGCATGTGGCATAAGTGTCTTTTATACAAGCTAAAGTGTGTCCTTAATTTATCTGTCATGGTTTAAATGTTAAGGCATCTAAATCTTGTTTTAGCCATGCCGATGTTTTAGGGTTTTAATCTTTTCATTACCTTGGAATTTTATATTGACATTATTGAGGATAAAAGGTAGGGTAAAGTCCCTTGTACATGACACCCATGATGGGTACTTTAGACGTTTCTTGAGGTTTGAAGAATTACACCCGCATTTTGGCATGGCTTAATTGTTAAGGCATCCAAATCTTGTTTTAGCCATGCCAATGGTTTTGGGTTCAAATCCTGTCATTGCACTTGGAATTTTATATTGACATTATTGAGGATAAAAGGTAGGGTACAGTCCCTTGTCTATGACACCCAAGATGAGTACTTTAGATGTTTCTTGATGTTTGCAGAATTATACCCACATTTTGGACATTTTGGTATGGCTTAATTGTTAAGGCATCCAAATCTTGTTTTCACCAACGGTTTTGGGTTCGAATCCTGTCATTGCCCTTGGAATTTTATATTGACATTATTGAGGATAAAAGGTACGGTACAATCCCTTGTCTATGACACCCAAGATGAGTACATTAGACGTTTTTTGATGTTTGCAGAGTTAAACCCGCATTTTGTACGTTTTGGCATGGCTTAATGGTTAAGGCATCCAAATCTTGTTTTAGCCATGCCAACTGTTTTGGGTTCAAATCTTTCCATTGCCCTTGGAATTTTATATTGACATTATTTTGGATAAAAGGTAGGGTAAAGTCCCTTATATATGACACCCAAGGTGGGTACTTTAGACGTTTCTTGAGGTTTGCAAAATTAAACCCGCATTTTGGCATAGCTTAATTGTTAAGGCATCCAAATCTTGTTTTAGCCAAGCCAATGGTTTTGGGTTCGTATCGTTTCATTGCCCTTGGAATTTTTATGGGCATTATTGGGTATAAAAGGTAGGGGAAAGTGCCTTGTTCGTGTCACACAAGACGGGTATTTTGGACGTTTCTTGAGATTTGCAGAATTAAACTTGCATTTTGATCATTTATGTCCATCCTGGTTCATCTATCCACATTCTTCATCCATTGGCATTCTGGCTATATATTGTTTATGCTGATTTATTTTTATTTATTTATTTTTTTAAATGGTATGGGGTCCTTTCCTCCACTGTTGAGTTGTCCAAAGTTGAGTTTTACTTTAATTTTTTTTAGGAACCATTAAAGCAATTTCCTTTATTTTTATTTTCCTCAGAACTGTGGTGTCTCCTCCTTAAATCTGGCTTTATTTCTTTGTATCTTAGGAGTCTTTGGCACTGGTGGCTGAGTTGTTAAGTCATAAAGTCTAGATTCTATGAACTTAAAATAATCCCTTAATAATTTACCGAGCCCTTTATTGACTTCATTTGGGTAAATGTTAATACATATTAGTCAGATTCCATCATTATTAATATTTTGTTGAAGTCGTTAGGAGTGGTCAAGAATGAAGTAGATTAGAAAAAACACCTTTTTAATTTTTTTTTTCTGGCGTTTCGTCCTTTATTTGGGCCATATGATGCTATCTTGTGGTGTCATATTGATTTTGCGTGAAACTGTTGTGGCACAAAACTAATATGACCCACAAGAATAGCATCACACTTTATGCATTGAAGATGACCTGAATAAAGGTTGAAATGCCAGGGAAAAAATAAAAAAGGTATTTTTGTAAACGACTTCATTCTGACTGCTCCTCACGACGAACAAATTATTGAACAGCCTGTCACTAAAAAACACAAATTTAATATCGGTTAATAATCAAACACTTAAGCCTAATTATGTTAATTGAGGTCTAACAAACAGCACTTGAATTATTAAATTTATTTAAGCAAAACTTAATAGTTCGTATAATTTGAGTTGAAACTATTAATTTGAAACATACTTGATAAATGGACATGATACTTCAGTGTAAACTCAAAAAAATATTCTTAATCACATCTCTTAGGCCTGACGTTTCAGTTAGACTTACATTATAAGTATACATGTAAAGTAGGAATTATAAAATTAATAAAACTTTTAACCACCATGGTATATCTACTATTAATCTAAACATTTTTCTCTTTTTTAGTACAGAGAGCAGATAAATTCAGACCACAGGCTCAAAATTCTTCTCGATGTATGTTACATTGGGCAAACTTAAATTTGTAATTGAGCAAATAATAACTTTTCGTCCTAATTTTTAGCAATACATGGAAAGCACAAATAAATTAAAAGAGTTGTACGAGGACAAAGACGGGATAAGGAAAGACGAAATAGCCGCATTATCAGGGCCTAATGAGTTTTCAGAATTTTACTCCAGACTCAAGGCGATCAAGGATTTCTACAGAAGGATACCAAATGAGGTCGGTATCTTATTCTATAATGTTGTGTACAATAATGTTATATAAAAATTACAAAATAAATGTTATTTATTGTTTATTAAAAATTTTCTCTAATATTTTTATATTTTAGATTTCCGTTCCAATGTCTGTTGAATTTGAAGAGCTGGCTAAATTGCGGGAGAACCCGACAGAAGAGACGACAAGTAAATACATTATTTTAAAATTGAATTGTAACTTTTATTTTTTTTTTTTTCTCCAGACCTTGTAGAGTTCACGGATGAAGAAGGCTATGGAAAATATTTAGACCTGCATGAGTGTTATGAAAAATACATAAATCTAAAAGGCGTAGAGGTATTTTATAAATACTCGTCAATAAAAAAATTAAACGTACAATAAATAACGTTATATTTTAGAAAGTTGATTACATCACGTATCTTACAACTTTTGATCGTTTGCACGAAATACCGAAAGAAAGGAAAACGTCCGAATATAAAAGATACGTTGAAATGTTATTAGATTACCTTTATGATTATATAATGAGAATAAAACCGCTGCATGATATGGGCCAAGAAATGGAAGGGGTTCAAAAAGAGTTCAACGCCCAATGGGAGGCTGGGACTTTTATTGGCTGGCCGGTATGTTCTTTTAAAATAATATAAATTTAAAAAATAAGCTAGAATGTTATATTTTGTAGAAAGAAACTGGCAGTGTGTTAACCAACGTGGGCGCACATTTAGACCTGTCTGCATTTTCATCGTCCGAAGAATTAGCCTCGTTGGGTCTAGACAGATTGAAATCGGCTCTGATGGCGCTTGGTTTAAAATGCGGAGGGTAAGTAAATTTTTCTAACTCGTTTGACTCATTTTCATGACACTGGCTTGTTCGCATGTATTTTACAGGACATTGGAAGAAAGGGCTCAGAGGCTTTTCAGTACAAAAGGGAAGAAATTATTAGATCCAAGTCTATTAGCAAAGTCCAAACCGGGAAAGTCAAACAGAAACAAAGATAACGAAAGACAAAGAGATATCGCTTTGATTGAAGCCCAAGTTTACAAGTAAAATCACATTTTAAAAAAAATAGTAACGAGTAATTTTTTAAGTAAATAATTAAAATTTTCTTTCAGACTAGCTGATATTTTAAGCGAGCAAAGGGTAGCAACAAAGGAAAACGTGCAAAGGAAGCAAGCTAGGACTGGCGAAGAAAGAGGAGAATCTGATGCAGAGGCTTCCTCTTCGGCGTCAGAAGCTGAAGAAGATGATGATGGTGTTCCTTATAATCCTAAAAATTTACCATTGGGCTGGGATGGAAAGGTTTGTGCTAGTGTTTTTCTCTTAGTTTAACTTTAATCATATTAATTTTTGTTACAGCCTATTCCTTATTGGTTGTATAAGCTGCACGGCTTGAATATAAGCTACAATTGTGAAATATGCGGAAATTTCATATACAAAGGGCCTAAAGCATTTCAGCGCCATTTTGCTGTAAGTCTTCTTCTGTTATGATTTAAATGCACATTATTTATTTATTTTTAATTAAAATGTGATTTTTGTTGTCAGGAATGGAGGCATGCTCATGGAATGAGGTGTCTAGGCATACCGAACACAGCTCATTTTGCAAATGTAACACAGATAGAAGACGCTCTTGCATGTAAGTAATATAAGCATTGGATAATTTTTTTTCTTTAAAAAATAAAAAAATTGGTTGTTCATGAGCAGGAGGATAAACTGCGTCACAAACACATACACATTCAAAACTTCACTGACACAAGCACACCAACATTATGTATATAAAGGCGGCTCCAGATGTGTGGGTATTTGCCGAATGCCGATTGCCGCCTAATATTCCAGAAATGCGGCCAATTCCAGAGCCAAATGGTGTGCCTTTGTATAAACACTTGTGGGTTTTTTATAACCTTTTAGGTTTGCAGAAACAGGGAATACGTATTTTCCAAATGCCGCGGGAGTCCTCAACTTACTACAGTTTGTGATGAACAACAATGAAACGTGTCATTGCTGCAGCTGCGGTTACTATTTTGTGCAGTGACTACAAACTAATTGAAAAAATATATTTAATTACATTTTTTATTAAATTCACTAATTTCGTGGCCCGCTTGACCAATTAATACATTACAATTAATTAAGGTTTTTAGTTGAGATAAAAAAGTCAATGGCATAAGCAGGATTCGAACCCACGATCTTTGGCTTGATACGGTTGAGATGGGAAGTTGGTGTGTGAGCGGATCGAGAACTAAAAACCTCAATTAGTTGGTCAAGCGGACCACGAAATTAGTGAATTTAATTATTTAAAATGAAGTATACTTCACTAAAGCTCTCTGTGGCCATTTCATTTGTCGTCGAGAATCCAATCCGATTACACAACATTTGAAAAATGGCAAAAAGGAGGGAAAATTCAAAAGGTAGGGTTGAGATGGGAAGTTAGTGTCCGAGTGGATCGAGGTCACGATAGCTCAAGTGGTAGAGTAGCAGCGTATCAAGCCGAAGATCGTGTGTTCGAATCCCGCTCGTGCAATTGACTTTTTTATCTCAACCAAAACCTTAATTAATTGAAAAGTAAATTTAAAAGTTAGTAAATTCACTAGTTTCGTGGTCCGCTTGACCAATTAATATACTACAATTAATTAAGGTTTTTAGTTGAGATAAAAAGTCACTGGCACGAGCGGGTTGAAAAATTATGTTGAAAAATGGCAAAAAGGAGGGAAAATTCAAAAGGTGGGGTTGAGATAGGAAGTTGATGTCCGAGTGGATCGAGGTCACGATAGCTCAAGTGGTAGAGCAGTGGCGTATCTAGCCGAAGATCGTGTGTTCGAATCCCGCTCGTGCCATTGACTTATTTATCTCAACTTAAAACCTTAATTAATTGTAATATATTTTTTATATTTTTAATTATTGCTTTATTTATAAAACAATTTATGATTTGTAAGAGAAGCTTTCCAAATCGGTTCTGTTTCATAAACGTTGAGAAACTCTAAAACTGTTGCATTGGGTCAATCCATTCCAAATAAGAAAAACAATTTTTATTGTGTAAATTAAAACATCTATACTAGTTAGCAATTGTTTAATAATGAAAAATAAATAGTATTAAATAGAAGTATACACCTACTGTTGATTTTGATAACAGTTGAATGTTGGTTAAAGGTATGTACAGTTATAGTTGATTCGCGAATGTGTGGATGGTTTGAGTGCGGTTACTTCACGAATATTCATGCCCTTTGAAGCGGATAAGAAAACCAACAAAAAGCTGAGCACTGTGAGCACCGGATGCTGTTATTCGGCGAATGGCCGAGTGTCCATCCACACTAGTCTTGATTCGGTGAAAATTTATGTGGCATTCGGCGAATACCGCATGTCTGGGACTGCCTTAATTGGGTTACTGCTGCTAGAACTTGTCCTGGGCAAGAATTCGGGGAGGAGGGCTTTGGGCAAGGGTACTTTCCTGGGTTGTTACATGAGCGAGTAGTTCTGGGGAGGTCTGAAAGTGTGGTTGGCTGCATGTATGAGCACAACCCAACCGAAGACCCCTGTATTGAGAAGTGAATAGGCTCAACTCGGCACATGTTTGTATGTACATACATTTGCGGATTTGGGCCTATATAAATCCAAAAGCCAAAGTATTATTGTTCATATGTTTTGTTTGTTTGTTTTAAAGTATGGGAAAAATTAAAAACACTAAAACACGAGGAGAGGTGGCAGCCAGAGCAAGAAGAGGAGTATGAAGATTCTCTAGGAAATGTTGTTAACAGAAAGACATATCAAGATTTAAAACGACAAGGACTTCTTTAATTTTAACAGTGTTTTATTACAAACTATTTTTGAATTTAAACATTTGTAATTCATTGTATCTGAATTCGTTGTAAATACTGATTATTTTATTGTTTATGGAAAAAACTTAAATATAAGTATACTTTAAACTTTGTACTTGTAACCCATTTCTTTTTTTGTAATGAAAAAGGGTTAAAATAAATGCTTAATCCCCCCCCCCATGAATGTAAACTAAGTACCTCTGGAGAGAAAAGAAAGCGGCCAGGTCAGGACCAGAATTTATCATGTATAAACAAGAGTTGATTTTGTTCGAAAAAATATTAATTTAAAAATAAAATAAAAAAGATAAAATGCGGAACTGTGGGGTGCTGGCAGGGAGGAAGAAAGCTCTCTGGAAAATCAGATGAACATCGACCAAGAACGGGCAGCAGAAGATAAGCTCTGCATGTTCCATTTGAACAATNTTTAAAGGGGAATGCAACCACCAAGGGTCATGATTGTCCCAATGACTAACTCATTATCTAATAGGTAGAAAGAGGCATACAGATTAAAGCTACCCACGCGGACGGTCGACCTAGTATATTTGTCGATCCATATTTATTTATCTTTATTCTATATCTATTATTAATATTTATTGTCTTTATTATTGTCATATCTAATTATTATTATCTTTATTTATCTTATTTAATTTATCTTTATATATCTGATCTTGAAAATGTTGATTTTTTAATTTCTGTTTTGGAGACATGACCATACTCTATTGATCCGAAATCCATTATGGATCTTATAGTAGATTTGTATAATTCAAGGCCTATTGAAGAGTCTTTTCCACATTTTGCACCAGTAAAGCTACAAAGCAGATTTGGTTTTATTGGTATAAAGCAGCAAGTGGTAATTCTGGGTCTTCAGTAAGCCGGATCAACTTAAGAATTCATAAAACACATTCCAATACTGCGAAATTAAGCTGAGCGAATAAAAAGAACTCACTAAAATACAAAGGTTCACATGTAAAATCAGCATTTTCAATCTTTATACAAATATATTTAAAAAATCAAATTCTAAAATTAATATTAAAAAATATATCTGTAATTCATAAATGTATTATTCATCAGCAGTAAATTTGTTATATATACAATTTTAAACGTATCTTCTCCATAGGAGGGATATTTCCAATTACAAAATGTTTTGTAATGTTTAAATTTGCGAATAATTATACACTTTAATAATAATTCTGCGAATGGGATAGCTCCAGTGAATCAGTGCTGTTTGTAATCTTGTTTGTTCAATTTTTTCGTCTTTATGTAAGCTTGGAAGTAAAATTGGGAAAAGAGTACTATCATTAAAGCGACTTGCGTCATATAAATTAAAATAGGTAGTTTCGGAACTGAGCAGTTTGGATCTAAAATTGTAACTACATGATGGTAAAATATAAGAATGAACTGGATCTGGAAAAAAAAAAAAAAATATTAAAATGAACATCTGTTTAAAAAGGAATGAAACTTACCAACTGTAACTGTGTGATAAATTTTTTCCACCCAAGTGATTTCACATTTTTATTATAAAGACTTAATAAGTAGTATGTGTACATGGTAACATGTATGATGGCATTTATGCCTGCAGTAAAAGCTTCATGATTAGCTGAAAAATGTTCAATAACGATTAATAATTATTATTTGGAACGTTCTGATTGTATAAAATTGTTAAATTTGTACTATAAGAACTTTCAAAATTTATTTTCTTATAAAATCACGAGTTATGAACATGCAATATTTATTATGACTCGATATGTTTAATTTTTGCCATTATAAACCGGTCGATCGTTAACAAATCAAATTTCAACATACTATTCTATCATTTTTAATTGATATGCTCATGCTTATTCAATGGAATGTTGATGAAAATAAGATGTACATAGTAATATTTTTTCTAAACTTCATGAATAAAAAATCTGTTTTTTCTTTTTAACTGGATTCAAATTGTTTCACACATTTAACAACGAATTCATGAAACAAATGTTGAAAGAAAAGATGCTTTCATTTTTCAACATGTGACAACTGTAGATTAGTTATAACTAGAGCCAGAATTCGTATGCAATTGCATATTCTTTTTGCTAACACTTACGAGCGACGTGATCAATTATTTTAAAGTTAAATCAGTTATTTAAAACCACTTCTGTTCATATATTTGCATATTGAAGGAATATCGCAAATTTGAAACATTTTTGAAGAAAAATAAAAATAAACTAGAAGACCAAGAAAATAAAAGTAAAAAGATGAGAGCTTAAGATTTTATTCAGCTTCGGTTAACTTTCAAGGGACAAAGGCACAAACAAATCCACACAATAGAATTATTTTGAAATAATCTACATCCCATTTCCAATATTCTGGGTGCCTGAAAAATAAATTTTCCTCAAGCAGTCAGGCTGTGGAAGGAAAAAGGGGCCTCATCTGAGACGCAAAAATTGTCAGTATCATTCTCCATTCGTATTTCCAACCTAGTAAATTTTTCTTTTCAACGTGAAACAGAAATCACCGGCAATACAGGAATTATATTACAAAAGAAAAAAAACTCCTTGACAAAAATCTTAAATTGAAGCAAAAAAAAACTTAAATTGTTATGCAGGGAATCTACAATTAATTTAAATTCCTACAAGTATGCTCCCTTTACCTCTTTTGATGTTTTTTTCGATGTAAAAATATTTTTTGAACAATAAACAGTGTGGTTTTAGATGAACTAACTTTAAAATGAATATCATAGTCAATTTTAATTCAGATCTTGAACTTAATTAAGCTTAATTATTTTGTCAGATGTGACGTAGTAGTTGAGACTGAGAGGAGAACCCAGAGGGAGTTGTATATTGTTATTTATTTTGTATAATTTTTAAATTACATGAATTTTGTGACTAAGATTTTTCTATACTATTTCCTTTCAAAATGAATATGTATTAGACCAAAAAATAATAGGTCTAGATTAAAAAAGTTCATTATCGGGTGATGTCTTGCCTCTTGGGCATTCATCCTGCATCATCATTAATTTTTTAGTGAAAATATTTGGCATATTTCAGATTTTCTATTGCATACATTGCATATTTGAGAGATTTTATCTCGTATAAATTCAGGCTCTACATACAACAAAGTCACATATAAAAAGAGCGTGGGCAATTACATTAAAAAAATTAAATTAAAGAATTCATCTTATTTGCATTATTTTAATGCTGCTATTTAATAAATCAACCGGTTTATAATAATAGAGAATAAAAGTGATGAATTGATGATTTGACAAATTTTGCTATCATCAGGCCTATTCCAGGTAAACCTATCCAAAAACAACCGATCAAATAACATACAGAAAATTTGAAAGTGTTAGTTATACTGACCACTTTTTTTTCACAAATAATCTGAATTTTTATATGGTCAGTTGATCGAAAAACTCAATTATCTTCTGAGCTTTTAACTTATTTCAGGTCATCATCGGGGCAAAACAATCTTAAATCGACAAATTGACTTCAATTTTTAATTTTATTTGACCATAAGCTCAGTCTCAACAAGGATTGTGACCTTAAAATAGGTCAAAAACTCGGCAGACATCAATTGAATTTGTTTTTCAATCAAAATCATACCACGATTCAAATTTTTTGTGTGTGACAAGTGGAAAAACATGATTGATGACAAGAGTTAAAGTGGGTGATCAGAGGCCACATAGAAATTTATTTTAATGCAATAAATCATTATTCAGTTAAAATTGATTAAATTGAGCCAATCTCTTACCAACTAAAACAAATTTCTTCTTTTCATCCCATATTTTTATCTAGTTTTATTATTATGTACTATCAGGTTAAGATTGTAAGGGAATCAGTTCATCCCTTTGAAATGTTCTTTGGCAGAATAAAATCAGATTGAGGTAAACAAAGTCAATACAAGCTAATAAAAAGCGCTACGGACCCGATATTTTAATTTTTAAGGTTTGACCCCTCATCCATGACATCCAACAAGAAGTTGGATGTTAAGCCTTCCTGCATGACAAGAATTACATTTGAGATAGCATTTTGTAGCAGAATGCCGTAAAGGGTTTTAGTCTTGGTAATTTGTATATATACATAGGATAAGTATTATTTTGTGTACATTTTTTGTAACAACAGAAAACTTACAACTGGTCAGTTTTACTATAAGCCAGGTACCGATACACATTCCAACATGGTGATATACATGGAGAAATGTAATTTGATGGTAATTTTTTTTTAAAACCATGAAAACCTAAAACAAAAATATTAGTGATAAACAATAAAAATAACTACTGAAACACTTTGTTTTACTTACAGTATCAAATAAATCGGATAATTTTAGCATTACATAGAAATAACGCCAATATCTCAACTGAAAAAAAAAATTATGAAACATTTTCAATAAAGATATAATTTTTTTTTAGTCACCTGCGAAAGCACTTGATGTTTATCGGAATTTGGTATGTTCTCGAAGGATAAACAGAACATATTATTTTTATAAATGTTGAACATTATCGGAAAGATCTGTGGATCAAAAGAAAATGAATACCAAATAAAAGAAAATAAACAATGCTAAATTTACCTTAACGACTAGGAACATGTTGGCAATTATTTGTACTATGTTGAACGCAGCCATGATGTTGTTAAGCTTGAATGGCTTATGGTTTTCCATCAACTTGCGCCCCCCATAAAATATGAAGTAATAGTAAATGCCAATTATCAGCATCATTGGGAGAGGTGAACCCATCAGCATATAATTGCTGATTTCCTTATCTGCAAGATTTTCTCAGACAGTAAAAATCAGCATCAAATACGAGAATAACATTACCTGCAAGTTCTATAAAAAGGTAGTTGTGCATGTCGTAGCAGTATTTCAGGAGTGCAGCCATGGTGTCTACTAATAACGAAAAAGTTTACATTGAAGTTAAAACTACTATTACTAAAATTATTTAGCAATGTTTGTACCAAATTAAAAATTTTATGTTAAAAACTGGAAAAAGTTTACTGATTGCTGGTTTATACAAGCTCTTGCATGTACTACAGTTTAGCCTATCACTTCTCCCAGACCACTGGCATTTCCAACTTTTGTATTTCACAATAAATTACCGGCGGCCTCAAAAATCACTCACCTCGGGTCTGGCAGTCAGAGGTCAGACCTTGTTATTATACGTCCAGCCTCTGGGGACAGTCAAAAGCTAGCACTTGGAAACTCACTCACTCTCAAATACATTCTTTCCTGTTTACATACCATTCACTAATTAGGGTGATGCAGTACTCGATATTTTTCCATCACCCTAAACACCTATTATATAACTAACTTAATTTAGGGTCAATGGGGTACTCGATATTCTGTCATTGCTCTCATACCACACTTTCACGCTAATAAATACTTTCACTCTCAACACTCGCTAAGTACACAAAACTATCAGTATTATATACAATAAAACAACACTGTTTCCTCCATAAATACGAACAGGAGACCAAGATAGCTGTTGGGCTCAAGTACAGTTCAAAATTGTCATTTTTGTTATTTTCAAGAGAATTTTAGGCTTCGGTAGAAGAACATTTTTTTTATTTTTACAAAAATTTGTATCTAAGAGTTTTTCGGGGTGTAAAACAAGAATATTGGTGGCTAGGCATGGATGTCGTAGTTATTAAAATTTCATAATTTATGATTAAACATCGTAAAAAAAAGTACGATATGATCCCACTTATTTTCTTCTATCTACAAACAACAAAAATACATATTTATGTACATAAAATGTAACAACCTTGAAATACGTGCATAAGAAAGGCAGAAAACTGCATTAAATTGTACGTGTGTTTTATTAGCGACAATTAATAATTTGTAGAAGTCATGAAGAGCAGTCAGGAATGAAGTATTTTAGAAAAAACACCTTTTTCATTTTTTCGCCGTCGTTTCGACCTATATTCGAGTCATCTTCAGGGCAAAAAGTGTTATTCTTGTTGACGACAATTTCACACAAAACAAATACGACGCCATGAGAATAGCACCACATTTTACGCTCTGAAGATGATTCGAATAAAGGTCAAAACGTAGGCAAACAAAATGAGCAAAGCGTTTTTCTAAAATACTGCCTGACCTCTCCTCACAACTTCAACAAATTATTAAATTATATATATACTTGACCTAGTATTACCAAAAGAAAGTTTAATTAAAATCTGTAATCCCACGTAAACCCTAGTGTTCATAGTAAATTATTCTAGCATATCTGTAAGCAGTTATGAACGTGTTTTTCTCTTTTTTCCTGTGTTTCACAGTTGAATTATGCGGCATTTCTAGTTTGTGTTGAAATCCATTTGAAGGTCGGGGAATAATAGAGTTTTTTTTCTAATTTTTCAATATTGTAGTTTTTGGTTAACCCAAGAAGATATGCGATTATATTATTATGTATCTTATCTTTATATTTTCCAGTAAAATATTTATAGTAACATCAAACTTTTTTTAAAACGTTAACAAGTTCACATTTACGTTTTAGTGGTCAATTGACCAAGTTACTTCTTTCAATTAAATATTCTTTCTATGTATGGTCTTAGTTAAGATAAAAAAGTCAATGGCACGAGCTGGATTCGAACCCACGATCTTCGGCTTGATACGCCGCTACTCTACCACTTGAACTATCATGACTTCGATCCCCTCGGACACTAACTTTCCATCTCAACCTAACCTCTCGAATTTTCCCTCCTTTTTGCTATTTTTTAAATGTCGTTTAAACTATTTGATCCTCGGTGACAAATGATTAATTGTCAATTAATTAAGGTTTTTAGTTGAGATAAAAAAGTCAGTGTCACGAGTGGGATTCGAACCCACGACCTTTGGCCAAATACACCGCTGCTTGATGATTACACGACATTTGGTGTCCGAGTGGATCGAACACGGTAGCTCAAGTGGTAGAGTATCGGCGTATTTAGCCGAAGGTCGTGGGTTCGAATCACGCTTGTGGCACTGACTTTTTTATCTCAGCCAATACCTTTTATAAATATTAATTAATTGAAATGGATTTTGCATAAAACTCATGAATTTCTGATCTCATTTAATTTGGTTTACATTAAAATAAGTTTATTGTAATTAATAGAATTTGCTATGGACACGTAGGAGGGCAGCGGAGCACTACATTTATGAACAGGCAGTTGATATAAGTTGATAAATTGAGATTATTAAGCCAGATTAGAATATGCAAAGTAAATATTATAGCCATCTATAAAATAAAAAGCTATATCGTCGATCCTCAAACCTCATGCTCAATTTGTAATCGGCATGAGTTAGAATCATTTCAGGCTTTCCATTTAATTTGCACTCTTTATGAAACTATTAGTAAAAAATGTTTATCCTCCCTGATAATGCTTCTTTGACTTATTATACCATAAAACATTGAAAAAGAGCCGTTAATTTGTATAAGTTGGTAATTTCTTGCTAAAACTGAGACATTTTATTGTAGAAGAGTAACTTAATTACAAAACTATTAAATGCAAAGAGTAACTTCTGTTCATTTATTTTTTTATTTTATTTGCTTTTATCTTTTTTCTTTAAAATAAGTTATTAATAAGTCTTTTCAGAGGATCTTCGGAAGAGGTCAAACAGAGAAAACTTCCTTACGGTTTTCTCTGTTTGACCTCTTCCAAAGATCCTCTGAAAAGACTTCTTGTATCCAGCAGGTCGATAATCTAGTTCATCGTTAAGTTATTAATGTAAATCTGAAACAATAATGGGCCTAAAAGAGTTCCTTGTGATACCTTACAATCCATGACACGCCTGATGATAATATCATTCAAATTAATCTTTTGTACTCTATTTGTTATGTTTTTGAAAATTTTTAATTGTAATCCTCTTATTCCTCAGTAAGGCTTACTAAATAGATCATGCCTAACAGAATCAAAACTTTTTTATTTTTCAATAAGTAATCCTGTTACCTCTTTTTAAGTGAAATTAATCAGAAAAACAAGTTATTTTAGCTCTAATATTTATAAAAAATATGTTGTTTATGTAAATCAGAAATGATAATGGGCCTAAAACAGTTCCTTGTGATATCCTACAATTCATTATGAGACTTGGGCTTATAACATCATTCACTTTAACCTTTTGTGCATTTGTTATGTTTAAAAAAAAATTTAATGCTAATCCTCTTATTCCATAGTTATCAAGCTTACTAAATAGATCATGCTATCAATCAAAAGCTTTTTGTTTTTCAATAATTAATCCTATTACAACCATTTTTTTAGTTGAATTAGTAGTCTAGTAAAAGTTTAGTGTTTAATTGCCAAGAAAAACATTAGCATACTTTAAAGGGAATGATTTGTTGAAATTGACAATAAATGTTTATCTTTCAAATGAGAAAAATTAATAACTTCACCTTAGCGCTCGAGTCCCCGATCACAGCTAGACTGACCAGTCCGTTGCTCAAAATGTGGCAAAAATTCAACATTCTTATTTTTATATGCCTCTAGAAAGAGATATGAATATACATTCAAAAAATAGTTGGCTAATCTGTTTTTATTAAAATGCGCATAATTACCGACTAGTCCAATTGAAAGATTTTGCAATATATTAAAATCTCAATTGGAAACAAAGAGTGTTAATAATTGAAAACAGAACTAAATTGTAAATTAAGTGATTCAAATTAAATGATCTGTGACCTAAAAAATCAATTATATTATGTACAATTACTTTAATTATTGGCTTTGCTGTCGCAACTATTTATTCTTTCTAACTTTCTGACCATTGACATATTTCTCAAGAAACAATTTCTTTTGATTTCAGTAGTTTTATCCTCATTGCATTGTATTTTTGTTTAACAGCCATTCAGTTCCTTTCATTTCACTTTCATCATGAATTAAAATGGTGAATGACAAATCACTTTATCTAGTACATCAATTGGTATACACCGGGATGAGAAGCGAGAGTCTACTTGATGTAATATTTTTTTTTTAAGGGCCAACAAACTACATTGATAACTGGTGATTATCACGTTTTATTTTTTTTTTTCTGTTACTCCAGCTAAGTTATGAAGTTATTATATATGACAATAACCGACTCTATCTTTTCTTTATCATATTGTACCTCAGGGCTCATCAATAGTCAAAAATAACATAAATCACAAACAATTGTGGATAATCCCCTCCATTCACTCTAATAAATTACATTCACACTACCCCAGAGTAGTCAATATTCCTAGAGGTAGTTGGCTTATATTCACGCATATAAATACGAGCATTCCAATAAACTTTCTCATACTGATAACCATTTCCGCTTAATTAATTTATTTTTTTTATGAGGGTTTGCAACAGCAGAGGTTATATAACCCCTCAGGGTGCCGGTGTTTTTGAAAAAAAGCCCATTTGTAAGTATGTCTGGTTTGAATGCAGGGCTGCTGGATTCGAACCCGGGACCTTTACCTTACACTGATGAGCACCAAGTCAACGCCTAAACTGTTGTGGCCACCGACGCCCCAAATGTTTATTCCATAACATATAGAATAATAACGAGCAAATAATTAAACCATAAGAAGGATGTAGTCTTTATAAAATGACTGCAGTTTATCTATTAGCAAACTAATTTTGCAAAGTATTATTTTTATCCCAGTCTTTCTATTTTAGCTGCTTCGGCTTGTCAGATATGCTTTTGCCACATTCAGGGTGATTTGGACTTGAATTTAATGGAAATGACCACACTGCAGGTCCATAAAAATATTACATACATTCCAAAATAGCAGTGAAACTAAATGATGAAAATCTAGCAAACCTAAAGAAGAAATCTCAGAATTACTTAATTACAAGCAATGAGAAGATGAAAAGGAATAGTTTGTTTTAGGTTAGGTCTGCCTCTTTATGACCTTGGTCACTGTGACCAATATAGGTTTGGTTATTTGTCCTCATTATTTTTTTACTCCTTCTGTGTATTCTTTACGCCTTATCTATTAATAGACATATTCTGATGTTTCTTCTTCTTCCTGGCAATATCTGCACAGGCTTGTTTCTGCAGCACTAAGGCCATACAACTCCTGAGTCTGCAGTGTTCCATAAACAGCCCTTATCATTCTAGTCGTAGCATGTGCTTGGCTTAGTAGTTCTGTTATTTTCTACAATGGTCCTTTATTGAACTTTTTCCCATGTGTATCCTGGAAAACTTTCCCCTAGAACCAAGGATTTTTTTTCCCCCCCGGCCGGCTAACTACTAGGGTCATTGCTGGCACCTCACGTATAAGCTTCTCGCATTTTTCTTTGCTTCATTTCAACTTTATCTCTATCTCATTCACTATATCTCTTCTTTTAATTTTGTTTCCTATCGACCAAACCGAGGAGTGTCTTGTTGCTCGTTCCTACCATCCCTCACGTGGTTTGTTAATAATACTTCAATATTTACAGACTAACAATACCCACTCATACCAAGAAAATAATTACCTAATCTACAGTTGGCAGGGCTCAGAGTTCAGGTGCATGACTCACGTCCTGCCCCTACAACTAAATAAAAAGTCGGTAGGATAGTCATAATCCTACCGACTTCCTTCCATTCCTGCTAATAAATACATTCATACAATATGTACAGAATTTCATTCATCCATTAGACTAATGTCCTTTTGATGGGCTTGTGGAGTACTCGATATTCCTCGACATCCACCAAGGACTTATTACAAACCATTGTCTGATAGAGCTATGTTTTTAACAATTTGGTGTTCTGCAAAAGGGTTCAGAACCGAAAGGTGTCCTGATTATTCTAACTGAACTTTACTGTTATATATATGGTCATAACTCAGCTGGAGAAAGAGGAAAATAAATCAGTAAGATTAAAACGTGATAACTGGTGATGAACAGTGTAGTTTGCTGGCCCTTAAAAAAACAAAAAAAAACACTAGAACTGAACTTTACTGACATATATATCTTCATAACTCCGCTGGAGAACCAGAAAAAAATTTGTAAGAGTAAAACGTGATAAGTACGTTATCACTATAGTTCGCCAGCCCTTAAAAAAAGTATTATATAAAGTTAACAGTGTAACACTTCTTATCCTGGTGTATACCAATTGATGTACTAGATATGTGATTACATTCGCCATTTTAATTCCTGATAAAAGTGTCTGTTAAACAAAAATACAACTCGAAAGGAATAAATCTGCTGAAAGCAAAAAATTATTTATAAACTAAGTCAATGCTTAGAAAGAATAAATAGTTATGATAGCAATGCCAATTAACGTAATTAATAGAATTGATTTGTTAGGTCACAAATCAGTTGATATGAATCAATTAATTCTTTTTTATCTATGCTATTCTGATGAAATAGCATCACTTGAACCAAAGATATATAATATATTTTATAGCAGTTTGTATCAACTCTTTTGCTGAAAATGAAGATACCGTCTTTTTGAAGATAAGACAAAAATGCTTTTGACAATTTTATTGAGACAAAATTGCTGACAGTCCATTTTATATCAGATATTATTAAGCAATTATTTTCAACAACAAAAATTATTAATGTTTTATCTAAGTGGTTGGAAAAGATAACTTTATGCAATATGGTAATAAAATTAGATAAATAGATTATCACCCCTTGTAATAATTTACTTTAATGAATTACATCATATAATTCATAGTAATTATTAAGTTAAAACAAATTGGTTTTTTCCTCGTGCAAATCAATTTGCCTTGTACTAACAATAATGTCAAAAGATGGGATTAGATAATTAAAAGGTTGTAGGATCTCGTTAGCTGAGTGGTCAGCAGAAGTCACTATCACCCATTTTTTCATGCAACCCTTCCCATAAGAACTAAATATACATATAAATGAAAAAAAAAATAAAGGGTTAGGATCAGTTTTGAAAAATAAAAACAAGCATTTTAAAAACAAACAATTTTATTAAAAAAATCAACATAAAAAAATATTTCTGTACATATATAAATCGTAACTTCTGTTACATTTGCTTTTTATCGTTTCCGTTCAATGAGGCAGTTTTCTTCTTGGGTTGGATATAAGTTTTAATGTAAAATTTCGAGAACAGTACGAACATGAGCAGAGCCTGGGACATGAAAATTGCAAGAGGGACCTTCGGGTAGTTACAGCTCGGATTAAAAAGGGCTGCTGCATGATGTATAGACAGAACGACAAATTGGATCTGAAATAACAATATATATACAATGGCAAAAAAATGGCAAAAAGGAGGGAAAATTTCAAAAGGTATGGTTGAGATGGGAAGTTGGTGTCCGAGTGGATCGAAGTCACAATAGCTCAAGTGGTAGAGCAGCGGCGTATCTAGCCGAAGATCGTGGGTTCGTATCCCGCTCGTGCCATTAACTTTTTTTCATCTCAACTAAAAACCTTAATTAATTGTAATGTATTAATTGGTCAAGCGGACCACGAAATTAGTGAATTTAATGAATTAAAATGAATTATACTTCACTAAAGCTCTCCGTGGCCATTTCATTTGTCGTCGAGAATCCAATCCGATTACACAACATTTGAAAAATGGCAAAAAGGAGGGAAAATTTCAAAAGGTACGGTTGAGATGGGAAGTTGGTGTCCGAGTGGATCGAAGTCACGATAGCTCAAGCGGTAGAGTAGCGGCGTATCTAGCCGAAGATCGTGGGGTCGAATCCCGCTCGTGCCATTAACTTTTTTTCATCTCAACTAAAAACCTTAATTAATTGTAATGTATTAATTGGTCAAGCAGACCACGAAATTAGTGGAATTGTATATACAATATTAAATGATCGTGTTTGGTATTTTAAGGCAATTTAAATCCAATGTACACATTTGTTAGCAATGTTTAGAAGAATTTATAGATAATTTAAAACAGACTCTCAAAAATTACAGAGGGTGTTATTTCTTTGTATTATTGTGTTTGTTTTGGGTGTATTAAGTGTTTAAAAAAATATATTATTTAAAGTAATGTAATTCCTATAGTACAGGAGGGCTGAATGATCAAATATCCTTTTAGTGTCAGGGCTGAGGAGAAAATCCACTGTACAATTCTCAAGTAAAAAGTTATGTGCTATGCTGATATTTGAACCCAGAACCACTAGTATGGCAAATATAAGTCAGACTAATCACATGGTCACTGCATTCCCCCTTTATTTACGATCATTATTGCATTTTCTTAATTAAAAAAAAAAATTTTTTTTGTTCGATAAAGTATTGCAGTTTATTTACCACTTGAATTTGTGTGATATTCTTCTTCCACCAAATGTTTGCTTTGTAATGGGGATAGAGAGCGCAAATTAAGTAATACATGTACATTACAATATGGACTATGGCGTTTATTATGCCTACAACTGCGCCATGGCCACCTGAAAATAACATTTGTAAAGGTAAGGATTTAAATCATTGGTATTTGAAATATTTTACTAAACAAACAATTAATAACAGTCTGTCCAAGTTGTGAAAAAAATTGTAACTACCTGGTATATATTTGGTTACACACCAAGTTCCAATAACCATTCCGATGTGGTGGTAAACGTGGAGAAAGCTGATTTGGTGGTAATTTTTCCTCAATACCATAAAAACCTTTAATAATAAAATAGCATTTCATAGTTTTTTTCATAAAGTCAAGAAAAGGCAAAAAAGTTTAAATTTTATTAGTTAAGCAGCAATCAATGGTGATTAAATGCAGATTAATTTTTTAATAGTTAAAAATATATCTGAAACTTATGAAAGATGAATAAAATGATGATGATTTGTAAATTGTAAATGTTTTTTATATACATACTGTATCAGTTAAGTCTGAAATCTTTAGTAGGAAATATAAATACGTAGTTGATACGACCTGTAAAACAAAAAAAAGAACTGTTCATAAATAGCATATGATACATGGAAAAATTTAAGTTTTTAGGAAAGATTAAGATTTAAAGTTGATGCTTTATGGGATAGTAACTTCAATAGATATATGTGACATCACAGGATAGATAATCAAAACTAATTTGATTGTTAACAAGCATTGCAGTATGTGTTTTGCCATCTTCAGACAGACTAAACACTAAAAGTGCGAAAACACATCAGGCCAAAATGATTGGTAATGATCAAATTACAGGTTCATCACCCCACAGAAAACTGGAGAAAATCTTACGATAATTAAAACTACTACTACTACATAGTAAAAGTCAGATAGAACATGAAAAAACAAAACAATAAATCATAAAATAATGACAAGCTCTATATCCTTTTTCCAATTTTTACACACTATACTATATGTATCACTAATTTTTAAAATAAAGTAAAAAAAATTAAACAAGGATATTTCAACGGCGAGGTTAAATAAACTCCCTTGCCCACCCCCTTATGTCAGTGTTTTGAAAAAAAAAAAAAAAAAAAAAAAAAAATTTTAGGTATATGGTCAGCAACCACCCTGCAGTTGTAGGTTTGATTCTCCTGGAATTTTTGACCCAAACACATAGTTTCTTATAAAGTCAAATTATACTTATAACTATACTTCTATATACACATTATAAGAAAAAAAAACTAATTGTATAAAAAACTATTGGTGGAAGAGTCTTTACCAACACCCAATGTTTTAAGAAGTGACTACCTCCCAGTCATGACGAGTTGTGGTGGTCGTTAGATGCAGACATGAAAACGGCGCATCAAACTCAATCAGCAGTTTCATGCCCTGTAAAATAAAACAAAAGAAAAAAAAATCCAACAATATTTTAAATAACTAGACATACTTTTACAAAAATATACATGTTCGCTACTGTCTGAATGGCATTGTAAACCACCATAAATGTGTTAAGATTAAAAGGTTTCCGATTTTCCATCCACTGCCTACCTCCATAATAGACAAAATAATAATAAAACAGTAGTATTGAAGCGAGTAATCCTGGTGAATTGATAAGAAAGTACTGGTTCGCCCTTGGATCTAATAAAAACAATTCGTGACATAAAATAAATATCTAAATAAATAATTTTTATTACAACATACCAGATTTCTCTATGAACATGTATTTGTATAGGTCTTCGCTATATTTTATTACAGCTGTCATTTTACAATCTGCAAAAACATAAAGAAAATCAAAATAAGTATAGATAACAAATTAGTATGAATAATTTCACTAATTTCGTGGTCCGCTTGACCAATTAATATATTACAATTAATTAAGGTTTTTAGTTGAGATAAAAAAGTCAATGGCACGGGCGGGATTCGAACCCACGACCTTCGGCTAGATATGCTACTACTCTACCACTTGAGCTATTGTGACCTCGATCCACTTGGATACTAACTTCCCATCTCAACCCCACCTTTTTGCCATTTCTCAAATGTCGTGTAATCTATTTGATTCTCAGCGACAAATGAAATAGCTCAAGGGGTAGAGCAGCGGCGTATCAAGCCGAGATCGTGGGTTCGAATCCCACCCGTGCCATTGACTTTTCTATCTCAACTAAAAACCTTAATTAATTGTAGTGTGAATAATGTATTGCAGTTAGTTTGGTTTCAATAATTTTAAAATCTTTATAAATATTTATTCATATTGCCAATAATTAAATATGTTTACGACTATTTATCAATTTATTATTTTGAATGGTTACTTAGACAAATTAATTATATATAATATATTTTTGTCTAATAGTATTAAGCTTATTCATTATAAATTGTAGTGCCAAAGTGCAATTCTTTTACTAGTTTGGATTGGGTGTTTTTTGATTAGGCTTTCCCACCATTTGAAAACCACATAAAAGAGAAAAAACCTTTCACTAATATTGTAAGTAGTTGTGAATCTTGGATAATATTAATTTTTTTATCAGTAGGACAACAATTTCTTGGTTTATAATATTTTTCCACCAACAGAGTTTGGTAACAGAAAGTAAAAAAAGTTCAATCTATGCTATTGTCTCTGGTAGAAGTGATTTTTTACACTGGCATTAAAAATTTATGAAAATAGAAGTGTCAGAGGCGGAGGGGTGATAATTCAAACTATTATCAAGTTACGATGTAAAAACATCTGTAAGAAATAAAAGAAATATCTGTAAAGAAGTCGATTTTAAACTTTATTCTCACAGAACGAACTAATTAAATATAAAATGTGACATGACAATAATAATAAAAAATATATATCTATTTTTTAACATTTTTTTAATTTTAATTTTCTTTTCCATAGTGAATGAAGAGTAGAAAAGAGAATGGAAGAGGAAGGAGAGAGATAAAGAGAGAGAGAGAGAGAGAGAGAGAGAGAGAGAGAGAGAGAAGAGGGAGCGAGGAGGGAGGAGAAAGAAGAGGGAGAGAGAACGAAGATGGATGGAAGAGAGNGAGAGAGAGAGAGAGAGAGAGACCACGGAACCAAAAAACAAATCTAATAACAAACATTTTTTTTTTTAAGTAGACCATGTAAAAATAACGAATATAAAACTAAAATCAAGAAAACACAAGAATATTCCACGAAAAGTTGATTTCAATTGGAGTATTTCAACTTCAAAATGTAGAAACGTTTTGAAATTTTCTTGTGCTTTGGTGTTGAAGGAATAACTGATAAAAATGTTTAGGTATTCACTGATAATGTCCAATATCATTGAAAGTGATGATATTTGTATCTGTAAAACCGAAGAATAATTTCCTGAAGGGTAAAATTAACTACTTTTACGTTAGGCAATTCAATAACATAAAAAAACAACGTACAATTCAAGTCGAAAATAGAAAATTTTCTGCAAAATTATATATTTAAACTAAAGCTTATAGGAAAAATAATGAAAGAAAATTACTTTACCAGACATAAAAACAATTTCAATTTAATTAAATTTTACATAGTTACACGAGCATGAATAAGTTTTAAGATTAATTATATAATGTGGGAGAAGTTTAGGGGCCAACAAACAGCTGAAATCATCGCCGGCCTTCAGCGTGTTTTTTTTACTTCTTTTCCTTATATTTTTCAGCCTGCAGCCATTGAGCTTACTGAACCAGCTTTTATATGAAAACTAAGAAGATATTCTAGAATGCTAGCGTCCCGTTTGTACCCCAATTTGTCGACTACAGAATAGATATAAAACAGACAATACATATACGTATGTACATCACCGTAGAAGCCTGAACATATTGTAAATTAAGTATTCAAAGTACTCGATATTTCTCGGGGCTTGAACCCAATCCATTCACGTTAATAAATTACTTCTCAAGACGACACACTCAACCCAGAGTAATCGATATCGATCGTCGCGGGGTTAAAAACCCCTTACTTTCACGCTAATAAATTACATTCATTCTAGTAAATTAACATAAACACAATCCAGTCCCCTACAGTGACCTTTGTGGCCACTTGAGGCGACTCGCCTGGGGTGCCTGGCGGCAGGAATGGGTTGCATGCACTGGAAGTAAGCTTCTCAATATAAAAAAGATATCAAACAATGGAAATCCTCATCCAGACCCTCTCGAAAACAAGATACACTGTTAACCCGTCTACGAATAGTCATTCCCGGCTCACCCATAGTTACCTCCTCGAAAAAAAAACCCAAACCCACATGTCCAATTTGTAAATCACCTATCACTATAATCCACATTTTAATTGAGTGCCCCTTATGCTCTGCTAGATCCCACTACCAAATTCCCAACAATATACATAGGAACTATAATTCACCGTACATAGATAACATATTCAACTTTCTGGCTAAAACGAAACTAATAAATAAAATTTAGTTATATAGTTGCTCCCATATACCCAACATCGGTGGTGCGGCGGGGCTCGCGGTCAGGGTCCTTGGTTGCGGGGCCGGTCTGGTGCCGGGTGCCGCGGGGCTCGGGTCCGGTGGTGTGTCTCGGCGGTGCCGCCGGCGCACTGTCTCAAGGCCTAAATGACCAGTAGGGTCGCTGCCTCAGAAAAAGGGAAAAACCAACCCAGACATACATTATATGCATTTAAAAATTTCTAACATCCCTGAGGTACCGGAACAGCGATTTTTACTCGCTGTCATATATAATATACATATTTTATTATAATATATAAGGCACTAATTGAAAAGATTTATTGATAACGAATTATATGAATATGAAAAAGAACAATTGACATGTAAAACAGCGATTATTCAGTGTTTCAACGTTAAAAATATAACAAATACATAAATACATAGATATGCAATTATAGACACTAACAACGGATAATCGTTGAAGACACTTTTAATTTAAAAAGTTAAATTATCGCATTTAATTTTTGATTTTTATCACTTGCAATGAAAATTTGGCCGAAATACGTTTGTCTGAAGATCAAATGAAAAGATCGGCGACGGGGAGGTGATGAATTTTTTAGGAACAGTACGATTTAAAATGATAGATTGTGTGTTTATTGTGTTGAAAAGAATAAATAAAACCGGAAATATATTTAATTATAACAATTGAATTTAGAAGTGAAAGGTATTTGTTAAAAAATTTATGTTTGATCGATGGGAGTAGGATTTTCATACCTTTGTTCCTATTCCTTGTTCATAGTGTTTGAAAATAATGATGAAGTTAAACATAAAGGACTATCATCGCTGTGCGATTGATGCCGGTGATGAATCCGAACGCCGTTTCAACCTCCAGCAGGTCATGTACTGAATTGAGCAGGAGAGCGAAGTTATTTCGCTTTTAGAAAAGAACAAAAAACAAGTTTCCTTTCAGCAAATTAATCTTTTTTGTGCAGATTCCGGTTCACATGGTCTTCATTGGAAGGGGGGAGCGCCTTGAAAATCCCGATTGTTTTAAACCGTCGGTACTCGCACTTTGTTCAATAGGATTCAAATTTATTATGCGAAAAATATCGTGCGTGAACTTCGTCATAATAGCTGAGCTTTGTAAATCATATACGACGAATTTTATTGAAATGAGGGTGTCAGGTAGAAGTGTCATAAATAAAAAGACTGTTACCACCCGTAAGTTTGGTCAAGAGCAAGGACATTAACTTACGGGGCCAAACAAACAACAGCCCGGCATAAATTATCATAAATTTGCATTCCTAATCATAATTATTCCTTAATATTATAAACAATTACGTCAAATACAATCATAACCTTCGAACCGATAATTCGGTGTATTTTGCATTGTTAATCCTGATTTTTATGTACGCTACATTTGATACAACAAAATAAAAAAATAAAATACAAATTATGTTGTCCGGCAAATAATGCAGATGTTTTCTTTCAATTACTCCTGTATTTAACAAACCGTTCATGTTTAATGGATTATTATTTTGTAAGAATGTCAACACATTTTAATCTTCTTCCAAATGTTTGTTTACCTCAGTAGCATTTCGGTACTTGGGAATAATTCAGTCTTTACTAAGATATCAACTCGTGAATTTTGCGTAATTTCGTTTCAAGAGTATAAAAACAATCGGAACGGTGCTTAACGGCCAGAAACATTATTGAAGTCTGGGGTGATGGCAGCATGAGAGAGCATCGTTCAGACATGGTTTAAAAAATTTCAAGAGGGAGGCTTTAGCCTTGAAGACAAAGAAGGTTGTGGAAGGATTTCTTCGCTAGATGATGTTTTGCGAACTTTGGTCGAAGAAAATCCCAGAATAACTGTTCGAGAACTTGCAGAGATCCCAGAACCATTAATGAAGTATGGGACGATGACAGTGTGGAAGAGCGTTTTCAGAGATTGTTTAAAGAAATTCGAGAGGGAGGGATAGGGATAAAAGAGGCGGCCACAAGGTCTATTGCACCTCGACCTGAATAGATCTATTGTGCCCCCTTGTTTTTTATAACTCACTGGCCAGCTTCAGGTTATTTAACCAGCCTCCACAGCTTTGCCAGCTGCTCCTTAGTGTAGGATCTTGCTTGTGCTTTTTCCCGGCCTAGTTGCACTTACATAGATCTTCACAGAAACATAAAATGTGTTCTGCGGTGTCCTCCTCTTTCTGGCAGTATCTGCACAGTGTTTCTTCTGTCTGTACTCCTATCCGGTGCATGTGCTTTCTTAAGCCGGGTCCAGACGAGTGTAATGTAACACGTAACGTAACGCGTAATGCAAGGCGAATTCTTTGTGTGGACGCTACTACGAGCATTACATGTAACGCTCGCCCAACCGTTCGACCGGATCCATCGGGGTGTCGGTTTTTTGTGCGAACACAAAGGCGCTCGCAGTTCTCGTTTGGACGGCGTTCGTGGCAGTTGTGTAGTGTGGACGTTCATGATGTGGAGTGACGAACAGTCGCTTGAGGTTTATACCATGTTCGTAGCAACTGAGTGGAACAGCCCCCTCTTCAAGATTCGCGTTTACATGATTCGCGTTGAGTTCGTTTGCCGTCCACACTGTTCACTCTAAATTACACATAATCCACATTACACGTTACACCCGTCTGGACCCGCCTTTAAGTGGCAGTGCCCTGTCAGGATGGTTAGGGTCCCATCTGGGAGATAGAGTCGCCTTCTCTATCGGGTGTGCGCGGGAGACCAGGCTGATGTACTTCGGCTTAGGTAGCCCTTTGCGCGTGGCATACGGTCTGATGCTTAATGCAGGCCCGGCCACTGGACAAGCGGGTAGCGAGGTTGTCTTGGCCCTTCGGGGCTAAGCTGCCTCTAAACCAATGCTGCGGCAGTAACACAATCCTGTCGTATGCGGAGGTGCGTCAGCTCTCATATTGAGAATCAAAACGTCCGATAAGGCCGAATAGGCTAGGTGCGGACGTTAAAGATCCTCAGAGTCCTTTTTAGGATGACCGAGTATGCGGGAACGTATTTCCCTGTCAAGAGTCCAACCAGAATCCTGGTTCCGTTGCGGTTGCGTCCTTGTATAAATCTCTTCGCGTGCGTCATACCTGTGGTATTGTTCACCAGGTTTTGAACTCATTAAGCATCCATTTTACGATGTATCCTCTTTTGTGGCAGGCTGCTAAGCCGCAGTAGGGTTCTGGGTCCAGAACATCCTTTTCGTTGCCTCTCTGCCCCGAATGTCCAGGGACTCATGCCAGAGTCAGGTCGTTGGTGACAATGAATTCCATCAGGGCCTCCAAGCAGTTCCAAACACTCTTTGCCTTCGCCTCGCATGAAGATAGGACCTTAAGTGTCTGGCTGTCAGAGTAAATAGCTATCTTCTGGGAATGTATTCCTATTGGAAAACTGTAGTATATTTACCTAGGTTTACAGTCAGTTCTGTCTTGGGATTCATCCCGATGACCCCAGCTTCCGAACTTCGAGAGATCGTTCAGAGAGGGTTTAAAAAATTTCGAGAGGGAGACTTTAGCCTTGAAGACAAAGAAGGTTGTGGAAGGATTTCTTCCCTAGATAACGTTCTGCGAGCTTTGGTCAAAGAAAATCCCAGAACATCTGTTCGAGAACTTACAGAGATCCCAGAAGCATTAATGAAGTATGGCAGTGTGCAAGAGCATCATCAGAGATGGTTTAAAAAATTTCGAGGGGAGACTTTTGCGTTGAAGACAAAGAAGGTTGTGGAAGGATTTCTTCCCTAGATTATGATGTTCTGCGAGATTTGGTCGAAGAAAATCCCAGAACAAACGTTCGAGGATTTTTGTTTCAGTTAGCATAGTCTTTGCCCATCAGCCAACTTTTTCTGGATAGAACTCTTGATGAAAACTGAATTCTCTACAACAGCAGATATTTTCGGGAGTGGCTCGACAAAGGAGAAGCAGCACCACATTTTCCAAAGCACCGACAACTCATAAAAAAGATGACTCCTTTGGTGGGTGATCAACAGATTCTTGAATTCTGGCGAAAAAATCAATGCCGAAATGTATTACTCTCAAGAAATTGACATTACTGAAGCCATCTTTGGTCAATCGGAAAAGGCCGGTTCTTTTACACGACAACGCTCGCCCCCATGCATTTTATAATGAACCTACATTTTATAAACACAGGGTGTCCCAGATAAAGAGAAAAACAATTGGGTGATGATACACCCTGTTTGCAACAACTTCCAACGTGTAGTCCTTATACCTATCTTCCTTTCCTGATTAGTTGCGATTTTTTTGTTAGTTTTTCCGTGGAAACATTACCTTACCTGAGAAATAACACAAATATCTATCAGGGTTAACACCGTTTTGGAATCGAACACCACTGGATTTTCTACTGAATTGTACACCTTCTCCTTTGGGAATTACAAAACGTAGAAATCCATGACAGTAAAATCAAGGGAACGAGGTGGCCAATGAAACTGAAGCAATGCACCAGAAATTGGCATTATTGAAGCCATCTTTGGTCAATCGAAAAAGCCCGGTTTTTTCACACGATAACTCTCGGCCTGTGACAACACGAAAACCGTTGGAACTTGGTTATGAGGTCCTTCACACTTCGTAATCTCCAGATCTCTCGCCTACGGACTACCATTTTTTCAGACACCTGGACAATGTTTTACAACATGAAAAAATTTATTGATCAAAATTCGTTAGAAAATGCGTTTACAGAATTTGTTAATAATAAAGACTCAAAATCTCTTCAGAGGGTGTTGCCTTCACGTTGGGAGAAGTGTATTGAGAGTGATGGAGAGTATTTTAATTATTAACAAGTGTTTAAAATAATTTCTGTAATTGTTTTTAATTTAAACCATATTTTCCTGATAATACATTGATTGTAAAATTTTACTCGAGAATGGGTTCATTTGTTAACACAAAATGACTATTCTTTTTTTATTTTTTATATTACAAGTAATTATTTAGAAATCGTGAGATGGCGGTCTGGTGTGATGTAGGTTTCAGAAAAACAGTTTCTTTATCGTGCCAACGTTTCGATCTTTATTGAGATCATCTTCAGGGCTCAATAAAGATCGAAACGTTGGCACGATAAAGAAAATGTTTTTCTGAAACCTACATCACTCCAGACCGCCATCTCACGATTTCTAAATAATTATCGATTATCGGTCACTAATAACATTACTACAAGTAATATTGTTGATACGTGCAAATGAAAAATAAACCAAAAGAAAATTTTGCACACGGGTGCGAAAAATCACTGGTAACCTACTACCCCCTTCTAGTAGGATCTACGTGCTGTCACGCTGCCCAACAGGTCGCGAGGCTACTGCCGCTTGATCTCCTTTGGAGAACATTACACTTTGAAAAATAATTAAAAAGAGCATTGAAAGAGACACATGGACACATACTTTTGTGCCAAAGCTTATATAAAGAAAGTCGACGAGCTTCACATAATTAAAAAGGGTGTCATTCCTTGTCCGTATAGAGAGCGAATAAGATTTTTACCGAGGTGTTTCAACTATGAGGTTATAGGAACCCTCGGGGTGCCGGCGTTTTTGAAACTTTGTAAGTATGACGGGTGAAATGCCGAACCGCGAGATTCGAACCCGGGTCCTTTACCTTACGGTAATGAGCGCCGTGTCCAATCCAGCCCTCGAATAAGAATTTAACCCAGCATTAGAACTTTGCTCGAGCACTGTTCCGATTTTTGGAGAAGACAGGACGGTGATATGTCTGGTTTTGTTCTGAGATTGAGTGTCTTTATTGGCGCGAGACTGGTTTAGTATGAGAGGATCGATGATGGAATATAATACGTAGATAGATTAGAGTAGTTTTAAAGTATGTATAAATGGTAATGATTAATTTAATATTCCCATCTATTGGCTTCCTATAGAGAGCGTGTTGGAAAGCAACCGTTTGTGTGAATTGTGCATAGCTGTAGAAAAATAGTTTTCAACTAGCAATTATTCAATTTTCACTTCCACAGTACTTATCCATATATAGTGCAGAATTGATTGCTATAAGGGAAGCTAGGAAGTATGCGAATGACAAGCAATTCCCAACTCTCGTCTTATGTACAGATTGTCATAGCTCTGTTCAAAAACTTCGTAATGACAAAAAGTTGTTCATAGCGGGCTACGTTATCATCGAGATCCTTAAACTTTCAGCAATGANTTTATCGTGCCAACATTTCGATCTTTATTGAGATCATCTTCAGGGCTCAAAGTGTTTGTCTTCTGCGTAATTGTGCCATTCTTGCGCGTCGTCACTCTCAACACGACAAGAAGAATTACATGGTACAATTACATAGAAGACAAACACTTGATAAAGAAAATGTTTTTCTGAAACCTACATCACACCAGACCGCATCTCACGATTTCTGAATAATTATCGATTAACGGTCACTAATCACCACACACAAAAGAAAATAATATAAACAAGGCCATTTGCAAAACGATGGTAAGGTTACGATCCAAACACGGACTCAGGGATACCTCAACAGGCTGAATATAATTCCGTCACCGTACTGTGAGGACTGTGGAACATACGATAATAATAATAATAATAATATCGTAACTGGGTTCCGTGGTGGAATAGG